TTCCCCCCTTTCCCCCCCTGCCCCCAACTTAATTTTTTTAAATAGCAAGGTACCCCTTGTGACATATCAAATAAAAGAGCATGAAAAAAGAAAACGTTTGATGAAAAAAAATTGAAAATCGGTTCATAAATTTGGGAGATACCGTATTCCCCCCCTCCCCCCCCGGAACTTAATTTTTTTTAAAGCAAGGTACCCCTTGTGACATATCAAATGAAAGAGCATGAAAAAAGAAAATTTTGGTGAAAAAGAATTTAAAATCGGCTCATGAATTTGTGAGATAATCCCCCCCTTTTTCCCCTACCCATAACTTGTTTTTTAATAGCAAGGTACCCGCCCTTGTGACATATCAAATGAAAAATAAATTTCACCAAAAATTTCCTTTTTTCATGCTCTTTCATTTGATATGTCACAAGGGGTACTTTGCTATTAAAAAAAAATCAAGTTCCGGGGAAGGGGGGGGAAATATCTCGCAAATGTATGAACCGATTTTAATTTTTTTTTCATCAAACATTTTCTTTTTTCATGCTCTTTCATTTGATATGTCACAAGGGGTACCTTGCTATTTAAAAAAAATAAGTTGGGGGCAGGGGCGGAAAGGGGGGGAATGTGAATGTAACGTTGAATTCAAAACAATTGGGCCCCCTACGTCAATAGATGATTCCCGCAAACCGCATATTTCTATCTATTGCGGTTTTTTACATAAATAAAGATGCAAGTTTTTAAAAAAACACCCTGTATACACACTGATCTGCAGGTAAAGATTGGACGTTGAAAAAGGCTCATTAGCTACGGTAAAACATATCAATTATATGTGAAATCAATATAAACAGTTTTTTTTCTTTACTACAGTGCTTTATGTAGTGCGATTATTTTTCCTTATTTACTTTATATGAACGTTTATCAACGAAATAAATGTTTAAGTAAGCTTATTATTTAAAAATTGAATCGTATTGGTACATTATTTCCATAAATGCATCAGTGTCTCATATAATTCGTACTAGGTAGCCTTATAAGTTAGCCAAGCCTTAAAGAAAGATATTTTTCAAACTAAGCGTTTCTATTGAGTTATGTTCCTAAAACCAAAAGGGAATGTGTAGTGTAACTATTTTATACAACAGAATTCAAGATCATTTTTTTTTTTTTTTTTTTTTGCTTCAGTGTCCTTTCCGTTGCGAAGCACGGGTACCACAGCTAGTTATATATAAATAAAGGGAATGCATAACAAACTTATAATGTTGAATTTAAATTTGTAAACTCCCCCTTTTTGCTGGGAAGCCCCTCAAACCTCTCTCCCCCGATCAAACTCCTTCTTGACCCTTGTCAGGCCAACCCAAACAATTATTCCTGGAGCCGCCCATGATCGACTGCTCCAGTTATAAGCACTTCTCAAAACGATATTTCGAAATGTTGTGTGGTGTTTAGCATTGCCTCACCTGACGTCATGTTACTATCAAAATTATGATCCCACGCGAGTTTATTGTATCATACGAGTATGTAATATTATTAACATCACTCAGGCTTTGTATGTATATTTTATTACATTTTCCCTACAATAGTATATGGATAGTTTTGTGATGTGTCTGATGATGCCATTACAACCATTGATGATGCAATTTAAGTTTTTATTTCAAATTTGTTATTAATTCCAATATTACCAATTCATTCATTCATAACAAGAATAGTATATGGGTTCAGCCATTACACTGTCTGTTGACGTTGAACCTGCCACATCTAGCTGAAGCTGAATGCTGCCCAGCCGTGTGCTCCAAGTAGAATCTTTCAGATACAAGGCGCTCCGGACAACAACAACTCTCGGGTGGCTAATTAGACAAAATAAAAACAATAGAAAACCCCCACCGCAGCAAACCTGCAAAATAAGCGAACTTCCATTTGCCTGATTGAATTTACACAAAAATGTCTCCTTAAAAATGTCACATTTTATTCCCATGGCGGACCTCTGAAAACGGCAAAACCACTTTTTGTTAAACGGCTCTAACTTAACAACGGTAGGAGCTAGCAAAGATTGGTCAAGGCGGAGCCCCCATTAGGCCAAAGGCAAGTATAATACTATACACCCACATGTTTGTTTGCTAGGATCATGATGTTTATTTTCATATTTTTTATTGGATCAAATTAACAATCACACATCTTGCATTGGTCAAGTCAAGACTAAATAACTAATACTATTTGTTTTTATAATATTTAAAATATTTATAATATTTATTATACTATTTATAATAATTACATGTTACACTTTACTAAACTTGTTAGGAACTCGTGGACACTGTCAGGTTATATTCAGCAATTATTTCAGTTTTAGCTGTTTTAATATTTATTTTGAAGGTTTGGTTATAGCAAAGACTTACCAACACAAGTAGACTTCCCATCCGATTGTAAATTTTGAAGCTCGTTTTTCGTGTCTAGTTCATGTCCGGTGACACTGGTGGCTAGTGTCGACGAGATATTGTTTCTATTATTTTAGAGTTAATTACATGATTAGCGTTTTACTGTTTGGTCTTTTTAGCCAGGAGACGAGTTTATGTTTATGATTAGATCATTTTATATGGTTAAACGAGGTTTTAAATGACTCAAGAAACAAATTGTAAACAAAACACTACCTCTATTAGTGCACCGGACAGAACTTACAATAAAATTGGCTTCAGCTGTTCCATAAGGATGGGAAATCTACTAAGGGAGTATGTTTTATCATTAGTCAACGGTTTTATCTACAGTTAAATCTATAGTTTTAACTATCTTAATAGAAAGTGTAAAGGAATTTAAAATTGCTATGCTAAAGCGCAATGTGTGCTTTAAAAATATATTTGTGGTAAGAGATTGATAAAGTTAATTGAATCGTGCAATGTGTATGGACTTTTAATAAACAGTCAAAATGAGAAAATATTTGGTTGAAGAATTTCAAAGATTCAAGATGCAATTGAAAGGCTAAGTCAGAATTCTTTAATTGAAAAAGTACTCTCTGCAGGACTGACAGGGAAATTAGTCATTACAGCCATCTTGTGGATTTGAAAAAAACATTTTTTCCTGCTTGCGCTCAAATTCCTAAATTTCCAAAAATGAACCCAAGCACGTCTAGGTTTTCATTGTTTCTGAGGTTACGTAAAACAAAAATGACATAACTAACTAAGCTTCCTATAAATGTGTTTGACATGGCTGCGGAAACTAAGTCTCTTGCCTAAGATCAATTCTACAAAATTTAAATTTCCATTTTGGTAAACCTCAGTCTCTTCCAGAAGGAGACTGGACCAACCATCCCGTTTATTGTTAAATTTTCATTAAGCTAATGTCATTAAATTGAGAATTGCTTCAGAAAAAAAATTATTTAGTTCCACAATATAAAGATTAGAGATATATACAAAATGGGGCAGCATAAATTCATTTTTTCAACACTTAATAAAACGCATGGGTCTGACAAATTTTATTTAGTTTTTACAATGTAAGTAGGTACATACATAAAGTTTTGTTTTACGTAGTTTTGAAGAGTAAATCATCTAGATGCCGTCCCCCATTCTGGATACATTTAGTATACCAATTTCTTGTGTTTGTCATTACCCTTTCAAGCATAGCAGGCGTTATGTTGGCAATTTATGCAGGAAGGGATGAGGTCAATGATAAAATGCAGGAAAAGAACCGGCTCAAGAACTGAGCATGCAGCCACATCCACCTTTAGCCACCTTTTTGGTTTTCTCAGCGAGGTGATAGGATCTCAAACCTCCTCGTCCACTGCTCTTAATTCAACAAATTAGTTTTTTGTCACAAAGATGACTTAACTCAGTCCTCTTACTCCCACTTCATTCATCTTATTACGGATTAAAGAGAATAGACAGAAAGCACTTCTTATACCTGAGCCAATTTTATTAATATGCACGGTCGTTGTTGTCTTTACAGTTTACCCACAGAGGCTAGGCGAGGCTATGCAGTGACATGCGATAAGCTCATAGAATTAAGAATTTCTCGGAAGTTTGGACGGAAACCCCCACGGAAACCCCCACGGAAACAGGGCATGAGTGATTGAGTGACGACCATAGATTTTATATATAGATGGTGACGACTGACGACACTATACGCTGGCATTACGATTACGTAACACGGAATTTGGCAACTATCGACCTCAACTTCCCCCAGCCTAACATATACAGTATCACAATACACACTGAATCGCAACAATAACAAACTACAGTAAAGCAACGCAATTTCAAATACCCAACCACTCCCGTAAAAAGCTACATACTAGCACAGATTAAAGTACTCCTTTAAATCTATGGTACTATAGCGGTATTAATAGAAGGCACTTAGACCTATCACTTTTTAAAGGACCTATCACTTCAACAATATAGCTATGAAGTATACACAAGTTTTCTAAGTAAAATCAAACTAATGCACGGCATTTTTAGCCTTAGCTCCAAATCGGGGTATTTTGGGATCAGCCTCAAGTTTTTGTAAGAAACGTTTAATTTCAAAGGTTTTAGTAATGAAGAAAGAAGAAAAGTGAAAACAAGAGTTATCAATACTAACCGAGTAGAAAATACTCTAATAGTCTAACAAACTCAAGTTGAAATGAGGTCATTTATATTTGGAAAGCTAAGGTGTTAAGTGAGTGTTTAATTAGCCCTAAGTAGCCCATTTTAGACCAAATTTACAGTTTAATCCAACATTAGACTATAGATATCAGTGTAAAATACATTCTTAGGTGCGCCGTCAGCGATGATAATGATTATACTGCTATCATCTTTAAGCTGTAACTAATTTCAAAACTAAAAGGAGTTTTTTTTACTTTAATCCAAACGTCCAAAGTAAATAACTCTCTCGGTCAGATTGTTTATTTTAGTGTGTGTGGAAAGCAGAATCACAGCACAGCTGATAGCTGATAATGAGTCAGTCAACAAATTATAACCCAGTGTAGATAAGCCCAGGTTCAAGGTCGCCCGGCTGCCCCACTTGGCTGGACGTTTTCCTGTTTACGTCAAGATGTGGCAGCCACAGTCGTCCGTGTTTCCCCGAGTTAGTGTCTGCATGTGTGGCAGTGGCAGGAGTGAAGAGTGAAGAGCCATGTTATCTAATGTCCCTGCTTGTAGTTTATTAGTTTCCATTTTAGGTAAGTTCCTAACCAATGTGTACAACTAACTTTTTGGTAATGTATGATCACCATAGGCTATACTATTCATTTGAATGTTCAGAATTAAGTATTTTTATTCATAATGCACATGTACAAAACGTGCAAATGTGTGATCTTTATTATAGTAGTGCCGGATTGGACATTTTTACATTAAACAGGTGCCTGTGTAATTCCACAGAGTAAAAAGTGAAGTGTAAACACTTTGGTATGTTATTCAACTTCTTTTTCTGTGGTATAACACATGCAATACAAAAGTCATCTTTAAAATGCAATAAGTGAAAACAAGCAATAAGCAAAGACTAAAAATGAAATAGTCACACTCTGTCCACTGTGCAATAAATGCAATGTGAATTTATAATGTTAATAATGAATTCAAAAAGAAAGGGCAAGAGCAAAACATAAAATTTGTATAACATAAGTAATGACATTTACAACAAACAAATAAAGATAAAAACCTCTAAGCCTAGGCTATATCATAGTCAGAAATTAAAATTGAATAATAGACCTGGAATCACTAACTCATAATTAAGCAAGATATCTATAGGCCCTAGTGTTTGGATAAAGTAACTAGTATTGTTTTACATACTTGAATCCGTGTTTTACTCTTCATCATACCTAGTTGTTCCAGGTTTTGTGAAAAGTTGTTACTATAAAACCTTTTGAATTTAGAAAATGCTCTAGACAAGAAGCATACTGTTAGTGCAATCATTGGACAAGAACAAAACTATGCAATTAAATAAGTATTTGGCTATTTGTCACTAAATTTGGATTTTTTGGGTTTCAGTTGGACATCTCCTATTACCTTCAAGTTCAGTAAGACATCCTCAGTACTATGCTAATCGTGTTTCAAGACAAGCATCGTGTAGGCGGTAAGTAAATATTTATTTATATGTAGTTGTTCATAACCAATTGTAACACAATGGCTTAATTTTATTTTGGAACACACAATATCAACGCAATATACATGGACTTTCTTCATATCCATCTATTTTATAAAAATATTGAATCATTCATATGACTAAGATCGAGGGAGTTGAATAATAAGAAATATATCCTTTAGAAAAACAATGAAAAATTAAAATTTAAGGGGATGCGCCCTGAGGGTGGATTTTGTTGCAAATGATGATGAATTCTGTGCAGCATCGTATTTAATTGTACATTCTTACTCTTTCAAGAGAACCACTGGTGTTTGCACCCATAGACAAAAGAATTGAATCTAGACTGACAGCCCTGCTGCGGTTAGCATATATTCGGCCGTCCACCGCTAGGAGTGCCGTGTAGTTTCGGCGCACACCGCTGCAGCGTCAAGCGCTAGCGTGCGTTGCAATTACAACTTGGTAGTTGGAGCCACTGTTGCCATCTTTGGGGAATTCCCTGGAAGTTGGGGAGTTGGAGTTTGTTCTGTTATTTTTCCGTGTTTAAAAAATTTCCTGGGACTTTCGAATAAAATGGTCTTTTCCGTTAAAATTACAGGATTTCAGAATTTGTTACTTAACCCATATTGAATAAGGGGTCTGATATGTTAGTAGCATTTCATTTGCAAGGGTGCTAGTTCTGGTAATAGACGGCGAGTTGACGACGGCAGCGAATCGACAAACTCTAAACTACTCTAGTGGCTCATTGCAGAACCCTACATTGTCAGTCTAAGAATAATGTAATTCTTTCATCTATGTTGCAGCGCATTTTCCTTTTGCCAAGACTAGAAAAAGTCGGGAACTTGACTATTTGGTCGAGCTTGTCGTGGGTTGTTAAGCGGTTAGCGGATTGCTGAATTTGTATATTTTGACTCTAAAACCATTGGTGAATCTGTAAGCGTACTTTCTGTGTGTCAACTATACAAAAAATTTATTTTTGCCTCTATCAAGCCAGCCTTGTTAAATTCTTGTAAACAATTACTTCTCCCTTTGGCTTAGTACACAATCACATTCATATTTTTGAACCAAAAACCAAATGAATTAAACAGATTTCACTTATCCAATATTTTTATAGCTTAAATTCTTTGATGGATGATATTATGTGTTTATGATTTCAGTGACCAGTATACATGTACCAGTAGACAATGCATTCCTGCATACAACGTTTGTGACGGACCAAAAGACTGCTACGACGGATCCGATGAGACCACATCTGCATGCAAAGACATCAAGTAATGTCAATACTCTTGATTTTAGCCATATTTATTTACAAGGAATGCATACTGTCGGCAACCTGTCACAAACTTCAGTTGGTTATTGGGTGGTTTTAAAACACAACCCAAAATTAAAAGTGCGGATAGTGAAATGAAATGAATGAAATTAAAATCTTTCTTTATTGTGGAGAACTTAGGACCTCATGGTCTTTCTTACAGTTAAGCTCTAAAGTTAATTAAGTTAAACTGAATAATCTAAATATGTTATAAATAGTGGCAAGGTTTAAAGACAAAAAAAGCTCATTAATAGGCAGCCCCGCTTCCTTTACTTTATTATTATGTATTCGTTGTATTTTTTCCACAGTTAGTGGACATTTTTTGTGATAACCTTTAGAATAACAGTGTTTTTTACTCCGTAACGAAAGTAACTATTTTCGATAACAGCTGACATCAGAGAAAGTAGTCGTTTCCCAAGCTCTAATTTAGGGTGAGGGAAAATCGATCAGCTGATTTTCCCTCACTCTAAATTTACTTTCCCTCGCTCTCAATTAGTTCTCCATTTACTCACTATGCACATTGCGCGCTAGTGTTTTGTTACAGTTTAATTTAATGATTTGAATCAGATGTATGAATTGTTAAAAGTTGCTTTATTTTTTTATTTTGATGTTTAATAAAGATTTATTGAGAAATATACAAAGGTTTCCTTTAGAATATTTTCCTAATTTTTATATTTTAAAAATTAGTTGAAAATATGCGTAGGTTTCCTTTTAGAAGATTTTGTTTTATTTTGATGTTTAAACAGCTATATTGAGAAATAATATAGTTGTGATATTACTGAGGTCTGTTATTCTGTGTTTGTGTATTTTTCATGGTGATAACTCGTACCAAAAGCTATTTTCCGGCACTTGCTCCATTATTCCCTTCCTCGGCTTTGCCTCGTATGTGAAAAAAGCTCTCACATACTCGGCTTCGCCTCGCACGTGTAAATGGGTGTGTTCTGCTTCGCGTCACACAAAAACTTGAATGTGCGCCGGAAAATGTCACTTTCGGTCGTAGTAATGAAACTTACTATTTCCCAAGGCCAATCAAAGAGTACTTTTATGTATTACAAAAGGAAACATGAAAAGTAAATCAGTCATTTTATGTCAAGAAAGGTATGCAAGTAAGTTTCCAAGGGAAATTCTAGTGACTAATAAATCATTTACAGGTTGTATAAAACTTGTATTTCAGTAATACGAAAATACTTAAACATGGGTGATGTTTTAGAGGAAACCATGTTATTGTCTTTAACAATAAATTTCCAATAACATCAAACCTTGTAAACAACAATCAAACAATGTGTTTCACATGGATAACGCTAATCCCTTTAAAGGAAGCATGGCTGCTAACTTATGAGCTTGTTTGATCTCTAGACAGTGATTTTCTGTACTTGTAAATTGGGCTGCATATTAAATGAAAACACCCTGTAGAAACAGTAATATGGGGTAATAATATGATTTTACTACCGTATCCTTTATTATGATAGTGACAAAACAATCTTTGAATAATTTATCTACTACGCACACACCAGCGTGCAATGAGTAGACTGCAATGAGGCGCATACGAGTGTTGTGCATATGAAATGATAACTTAGTTGCTGACTAACTTTAGCTGATTCATGTTTCCTTCTCAAATAGACATGATATCTAACACTATTGCTCTAAAAATAGCTAATCACTCAGTAAGTTAGCTATAAATTCAAACTCAAAACAACAATAGCCTATATATTTATGTTTTAAAATGACATAAATACTAAATAGATCTGATGATAATTGTAATAGTCACAGTTGTACAAATAGTACCAGTAAGCTGCATTTAATCATACAATTAGTAAATACTGAATCAATCGTCAAAGAGCATACTAAATTATACAAATTGATACATGATCAGTAAAAATAGCGACTTGGTACTAACTAATCACATTTGTAATGAAAAAAGTCCCCACTAATTAATTATCAAATTCTCAATACAGTCATTTCAAAAAATATATGTCTATCCAAACTTCAACACTTTTACTAATCACTACATCTACATCAAGCTTAAACTTATAAATAAGAGTATATCAACAGTTTTGCCTAAAAAGTTACAAGTGTTCCATGTTAGGTTAAAAGCAAGTTTTTACCAAATGTTTTTAATGTCTTGTTTATTTAGTGTTTATCCACGCTATTGTAATTTTTTACGCTTTTCTGATTGATAGCTCAATGACAAATGGCATCTGGCTCCAGATTCAATCTCTGAATGCACTAACCACTTACCTAACCAGAAAATATTTCTTTATCTGCAACATCTGGATAATAAATCCTACTTTTTGTTCAAGGAGGTCAACTAACAGTACATATACATACAATTATTTTTATATCTGAATATTATGGAAGTAATTGTATGGTGTCAGATTGATAGACATAGAATCATCTCCATGCAAAAAAACCAGTTAGATTGTAAGATAAAGATACACAAAAAATTAACAAATCAAGTACGGTACTTTACCAAACAAGAGATGCATATAGTGACTTTATTATGCTACAAATAAAACTGTTTGGATAATTTAACACGTTCGCTAATGCAATAGTACGAAATTTTCCATTCACATGGACCAGCGACGCACATATGCGACGGCCGGTTTCCATCCATAGACTGCCGTCGCATATATGCGACGGCTAGTCACATTAAAATAGAATGATATTTGCGTCGGGGTTCTAATGTTATTAAAATGCTTATATCTTTGTAGTGGTCTATTTGAAGGCACTGAATTCCCTGCAGTGGTCTACAGAGATGTCTGCGTCGCTTGGTCTGTGGATATGATGATTGGTGACGGCATATAATAGTTGGAAAAACTGGTCTTTACTTTTCTGCATCACTGTATGTGAGTGAAAATTTAAAAACGTACGTTTTCAGGAAAAGCACTTTGCAAAATTTTTCCCCCTTTTTTCAAAACTTTTATTATTTTTTTATTTCATTAACATTTGAAGTTTCATAAAATGTCCATGGTAACGCAATATCTTTGGTAGTTATTTTTTAAAAGAGCATCTTTAGTGGAAAAACACAAAATCCTGTCACAACCATAACGGACGTTTAAATGAATATTAAAAATGGTTAATATTATTTTTATAACTATGTTTTGCTATAAACTAATTTACTTTTATGACCATTATACAATAAAAAGGTCACTAAGCTTTTAGTCTATTTGGTCTTTCCAGAAAAAAATAAAAAAACTCAAAAATTTTTAAAAAAACCAATAAAATCTTTTTAAGTTTGTATAACTACGAAAAAACTTACCTGAGACCCGAAAAATCGTTATGTTTGTATAGAGGTGTGCTTCTTTTGTGTATAAATATTGAAATATGACGATATTTTAATTTTTGAAATTGTTATGATAGAAATCATAAACGTGATGGTCAGGGACAAGCGGTACGGTCGTGAATTGTCTGGAATAATTTAAATCTTTCCAAGTTCAATTATACTGTTAGTTATAATAAAAATATGTGTTTCAATTTAACTAAACTGTTCAATTTACAATTATATTAAAGTTATTGTCACGACCAAACACACTATAATCCATAAGGCTGGATTGGTCGTGAAAAAACCCGCGATGGTCGTGAAACTTTGGTCGTGAAATTACGTGTTATTTGGCTCTGTTCTGGCGGTAGCCCTGCACCTCATGTTCGAGGATACAAAGTGGACTTCTAGGTTAATCTAGCAATTGAAATATCTTATAAACAAAAATTAACACCATGTCTACTTCATCAAATGACTACGTACGGTCATGGACACACCAAAATTACAAAAAACACAATCTTTCCTTTATTAATCTTGTAATTCCTCCTTTCAACTCGAAACGACCGGCACTACAATCCTGACGTACACCCCGAACTAGTCTCTCAAACCAACTGACTCCATCGACACCAGGCTTGCCACTGTCGTGCTCCAAAGTTGAAATTTTTTCCCAAATGGTCGTGACGCCAAATCGAGGGACAGACTTATTTTGTCATGGTAGTTAGTTTGCAATGACAATAAAATTATAATATGCTCCTTTTTTGTCAGTTTAATAACCATTGACGACATAAAAATATGGCTTTATATATTTCGGCATGAATAATTAGTTTAAAAACAGCGTGAAAGTTGGAAAATGTACCCTAGGGACACGTCATGGTCGTGAATTTTGAGACTTTAAAAATACGAAAAAAATACCTAGAACCTATTTAAAACCAAATAAATGTGTGTAGCATGTTTCCCCCGTCCCAAAAAATATTAAAACACATAATAATAAACTACAAATCCAGTATCTACGAAGTAAAAGGCCAGGGACATGAAAACGTACGTTTTTAAATTTTCACTCATGTATGTATGCAGTATGTATGCTGCATTATCCTATGTAGCTTTTATATTTGTTCAGTTATAAACTGTTCTTGAATAATCTGTTTATTTTTTTACTTACTTTCACCTTAAAACACAAAAAAATGAACTGTCGCATATATGCGACGTTTAGTCTATTTCAAGAAAACTATGATAATTTTCACTATTGTCTTCGCTGTAGACCGGGCGTCGCATATATGCAACATTACTAAAGGTTATAAAAAATACAAAAAAACAAGAATAATTTATTTACAAACACGATTGTAGCGTATTACAATGTAAATGATCACTGTGGTCTGTGTGTACTGTTATCCAAGTGACAGACAGTCTATGTGTAAAATTCAAATGTATACCTCGGTCTGTGGCAATGACCGCGGGGTCGCATAAACAAGTTAAACTTTTTTATCTGCCGTATCATTTATATCTGAAAATTAAACGCAATATTTACGTATTATGTAAAGGGAAAACCCCCGATATCAGTTTGGAAACTCCGTATGTAGCTATACTAATGAGGAAATGAATTTTTGTGTATGTTGCAGGTGCCCATCTCTAGCATTCAGGTGTTCGTATGGAGCTTGTATTGACCAGGAGCAGCGATGTAATGGACAGCCAGATTGTGCTGATGGCTCAGATGAAGTGGGGTGTTCAACCTCGGGTGTGACCCACGGAAACCCCTGTGGGTAATAATAACTTATAATACATATTTGGTAAAATTAATAAAAATTATTAACAATTAACACTAATACATCAAATGTTGAACCATTAATAAGTTTGAATGTCCCATTGTGAACATCATTGTGGACATCATGGTATTCCCAGTGAGGCTCTCAAGAAGGTATTCTCAGTTAACCCCCTTTTACTGCTGAGAATGTACAACACATGCCTGTATGAAGGGGTTTTCCCACCCCCTTGGAAAAAGGCTAGGCTTGTGCTAATCAGCAAGGGGTAAGGTGACCAAGCGGATTGAAACCATCGTTCCACTATGAGTTGGGAACGTAGTTGTCCAAACCACGTGAACCGCCAAGTACCTCGGTATCATAGTGGACAATAAGTTGAGCTGGAGGGACCAGATCTTCCGTACGGTGGATAAGGCTGCTAGGAGTGTCGCTGCTCTTAGTAAGATTATGGCCAATGTCAGTGGTATTCGGTCCAGCCGTAGAAGACTCTTGATATCTGCAGTCCAGACCGTGCTTTTTTACGGCTCTGAGGTGTGGGTAGACACACTCAGCAAGGAGGCATACAGGTTGAGGCTCGCACGATTGCAGCGTTAAGCGGCACACAGGGCCGCTTCCGCTTACTGCACGGTGTCCAAACCGGCCGTTTTGGTGATTGCTGGAGTTATCCCTGTCAAACTCTTGGCAGCAGAGAAGAAGGCAATCTACCAGAGACAAGGCTTCTTCAGGAAGGACGCTGCAAGAACGGAAGAGTGCTCCCCCACTTTTTAGATGTGGCAAGAAAGCTGGGAAAGGGAGACTCGAGGACGTTGGACTGCCAGACTCATCAGACAGGTCCAACCGTGGGTGGAACGGCGGCACGGTGAGGTTGACTACTATCTCACGCAGTTCTTGTCAGGTCACAGCTATTTTCAGTGGTACCTGCACTTGATGGCCAAAACGAATTCACCTGACTGTATTTACTGCCCATGCATTCCCCTACCAAGCGGATCACACATTTTTCCGCTGTCCATGATGGGATTTGCTCCGCCAGGAGGCCACTTAACATCTTGGGGTTCTGTCGATTGAATCGATTTGTGAGACCTTGCTGGAGGGTGAGGACAACTGCGACTGCTGGTCGCACTTTGTCCGGAATGTCCTTCAAGTAAAAAAGAACGATCTACATTTTGTAAGAAATTAATGGCTAGACACGGAGTAAACCCTTCAGGCGTAGGCAAACCCGGCCTAGTTCTAATGAAGTGCGACAAGCGTTCCCAGGCTAGTGTCCGAAGAGTAGATGAGGTTTTTAGTGGGTAGTATCCCACCTAAACCCGTTGGAGTCCCACGATACATGCTAGCCACCTGTGTGCATAAATGCATTTTCCCACCTCTCTTAGAAAGAAAGATAAAAAAGAAAAAAAATTGTGGACCTCATTGATTTTTATGATTATTTGAGGGTTGTCTGTAAATTGAGGTCTCTCATGAGCTCCCATAGCGGTTAAGCGAGTTTGATCAATCTGACAATAGCGCCCATGTTCGTTACTTCATTCAAAACTGATCTTTCTCCTTCCCTCCATTAAATGACAATTAGTTAGGTAGTCATAGTATGTAATAATGGTACTAAGGGAAATTGACAATCCCGCCACGTAGTATTAATCATGTTCTGTGGTTCTGTTGACGGAGGTCAACCACTATTGAAATCCATTGTCAATTGACAAACGTGTAGGCAGAAAAGTGTTCAGCAATGAAAAATGTCTGTGAGTTGTTTTTGGAGTTCACAGAAGGTTGTACCTATGTGGGTTTATTAGTAAATGGTCCTGGCTAAGAAACAGCTGTTCTTAGTCAGTTTCCACAATAATCATTTTCAGTTTCAGCGTAAAAAAACCTATAAGCATGTGTCGATGTCTTTAAGAATTGAATTCAATTACTTTGTGACCAGAGTTTAAGACTACCAGGATCCATTATGTTTGATACCGGTAGTCTTAAAGACATCCTCTATTAGTTGGGTAATTTCATGTTCAGTCCCTACGATGTGTAAGCAAATTTTCCTTAATTTTGGTCACTCTCTTCTGTCCCAAACAAAACTGACAAAAGCAGATGGCCAATACCATACATCGTAAACATCATTAAAATGTTTACGACCTTCTCCAAAATTCTTCTACCCCCTTTGCTTATCTTGTTCCAAACAATTCTCTCAATTTGAACTCTTCAACTAGCTAGGCAACTTCGGTAGATGCCTTAGATCACAGATTATAAATCTAATCACAGATGCTTCACAAAGGCGTTGATTTCTCTCACTACGAAAAGACGACCTTGGCTTCCAGGAACCTGTTAGGATAGTAGTGAATGAAGTAAAGAACTTGATGGGGCTGAGGTAAAATATGTAAAAGGTCAGATATGTGATAGGTATAGTCGCATATGATCGCAGTTTTAGCTCATTGGAGACCTTTATGTAGGCCACCCTCGCAGCTCTCTAAAAAATTATAAGTTTCCAGAGTTGTCACCAACCCTACTTCATCCATTCTTCATCCTACTTCATGTGGTCAGTGACCCGTCTATGTTTAGTTATTCTTTTTAACTTTGGATATAAAATGTGACCTATGTCAAACTGTAACCAAAAATATTTTTGACATGATAATAATAATAATATTTAGATAGTAATAATTTATCTAAAAAGGTTGATGGCAAATAAATTGTATTGTAAAGAAGGGTTGACTGTGAAAAATTGCTGATTTTAATAGTTACCTGAATATAATAAACTTCCTGTTGGATTTGAAATCATGGACTCATCAGTTGAGTTTAACAACACTTAAAATAATTCATGATTTGCTATGGAAAGCTTCTTCAACTGTTCTCATATGTGTTTTCTTATGACTTACTTAAACCAAGGCCACACTAATAAAACAGGGCGTAATGCTCGTGAAGCATGACGTCACGACACACATGATAGACGTACATGATAGAAGACGGCAATGACGTGGTTTGCCGTTTGTGATCAGCTGCTTGTTTTAATCTTTCCTTGGAAAATAAATAAACAAATACCCTTTGTCACAAAAATATTAAACATTACGTCATTGCCGTCTTCTATTGTGACGTCATGCTTGACGAGCATTACAGCCTGTTTTTTTTAGTGTGGCCTTGCTTAAACCAATGAGTCTCCATCAACTTAATCTACAACCATTATTGATGTAATTTTTATTTACATTTAATCATACTTCCTCTTTTACAGAGAATTAAAATATATGTGTTCAAACGGACAGTGCATAAATGGATATGACACTTGTGATGGCATCAAAAACTGTGATGATGGATCCGACGAAACCAGGCAGTTATGTTCAGATTTTGTGTGAGTGCCTTTTAATAATATTCTATCTAATATAATATTCTCTGAAATAAAAATAGGCAGTCTAGTTCTTTCATAAATTATAAGTTAGTTTATTGTACAGTTGGTTCAATGTTTATTTCTGCAACCAACCAGAAGTGCATAAATGCACTGAATTATGGTGTCACTACAACTCCAAAAGTCAGTTTTATGTTAATTTTACACTGCTTGTTTGACATTGCTTGGTTTGTCAAGCCAAGCAAGATTTTGAAAAATCAACTCAAAGATTTTTAACTAAAGAATTATAGCCATTCGGAAATTTGTGTGGTAAGGGGATGGGAGGTGGGCTTTGTTGTCGCTGAGGAATTGCTACCCTCAAGGCAAGTAGAGCTGCATTTATCAAGGTCACACTGAAATTCAAATGATTTGCGCTCAAGAATTGCATCACGGAGGAGATGGGGGTTAACCAAGGAAAGTTACCTCACTGATAGCAACGTATCTATGTAAATATTTAACCTGAATATGAATGCATTGCAAGTGTAGAATGGAGCAGATCTGTGTAGCTTTGTTTGGGTCATTAAGTTTGTTTTTTTCCAAGATTATTTACAATACTAAAATTCCAATGATCAAGTACAACTTGGTCAAGATTCTTACCATAAAAAACCACTTTTCTCTTATAAAAGCTTAAGAACTACAGTTTTAATTCAGTAGATGTGCCAATTTATTGAGAGGACTCAATAAGTCAGTAGCTATTTATAACTACTTGGTGCGAAAAAATACATAAAAAAACTTACTGAACACATCTCAGAACTTACTAACTGATCTAAGGAGTTTTGACCAAAGTTTGTTTTTGTATTTTGTGTTTAAATAATGGCTCAGGAATTAATTAGAAATTTCACCCAATGAAATTTTTGATTCAGACTAATAAACATTTGCTTTAGTTGGAGTAGGGAACTGCAGCCTGCAGCAGTACTGCTGAGAGGAAGGAGTAAATTTACTTTTGCTAACCGAGCATTCGTGAAATTCTCAAAACATATGATTGTAATTACATTTTCAGGTGTCCATCAGGTACTTTTCAATGTGATTATGGAGCTTGCATGGAGCCATCAGTCAAATGTGATGGCAAAACTGATTGTCCTGACGGTTCAGATGAACGAAACTGTCCCAATTCTCCCATCGATACTAACACCACAAGGTTTGTTAATTTACACTCATCTCTCTAAAAACTTAAATTTTACTTATTTAAAATTAATTTACAGTCAGTTATATCCAAACCATTTATACAGAAATAGCTATTTGTTTATTAAAGAAGCAAAGAAAGTCATTTGCCATGCCGCTAGAGAATTGTAGAGGTCATACATTAATTCCGATAACGGTAATGATTGTTTGTGCTCTAATGAAAACACTTAAACAAAATTATAAGCCATAAACGATTTGTATTTTTTTAAATTATGCTTACTGCAGGTTTTTGATTATTTTTATTTTCGAGTTGTTTGTGAAAAACCGTCTTAAAACATGTTTTTCCCCCTGAAAAGAGACAATTTAAATAGTTCATTAGGCCTATGCATTGAATTTGTGGGGGGAAAAACTTCATAGAACAGAAGTTTCTTAGAATTAGTCAATTTATTGATTTCCACACTTTATTTCAATCGTGGGTGGCATCCACCCCCAGGGAAACAACCTCTGGCACAGGGAAGATTTTGTAATAGAGAGTAAGCAGACACTAAATCTAATTTTTCAAACAAATCAGTTCTGTATGGGATAAATACACAGTTTACACTTCTTTTACGGTTATTGACTAGACTATTAATCATTTTACAGTTTTTAGTTACCAATTATAAAGAGGTTCTACTAAGGGCCAGAACCCACCAAACTTGTTGATGATACTGACAAAAGCAGTTAAACGAGAACCTAAATATTACAAATAGGTTTCTAGTCCCTTCCAGATCATACTTCACTAATTAAACGAACAAGTGATAATCATATTATAACTTAAAAATTGAATTACATTTTAACAAATTAACTGTTTAGTAATAAACAAAATCACAATGAATGAAATTGATTGGCTTTTATTAGGCCTGGGACAGACATAGTGGGTGCCTGTATTCTTCCGAAGCACCCCAAAAATGGAGCCTACACAGCGTACACATCATTCCAGTGTGGACCCAACGACGCCCGGCCAGCCTGTCGCAACATCCCAGGCACACCAGTGGGTCAAACCTGGGTCATAAAGTACACATGCAACGGAGACTACAGCCTCAACAAGGACTCAGAGTTCTCTGTCTGTGAAAATGGAGTTTGGAAAAACGAAGCGGACTGCATTAGTAAGTCATGATAAATTATTATTAAGTGTAAGGCTAGACTCAGTCTTAAAATGAATATCATCATACTAATATTATAAATGTGAAAGTTTGTGTGTTTGTTTGAAGTTCAATCACGCTTTAACTACTGGTGGGATTGGGCTGAAATTTTGTATGATCCATAGCTCACATTCCCGATTAACATAGACATATTCTTATTTCAAGAATCCTTTCAGGCTCCGCCCTAGTGGCTCTGGAGTGTCCCATAAACTATATGAGTATTCATGTTTAAAAGGAATTAAAGAATTTTGTCAGCTGTTTCAACTACACAAGTTGGTTTTATGAAATTCAATATCACTAAAAAGTTATAACGTTTACCAACAGGGTGCAGCACTATTATTTTTTTTTATACTTATGACAACAGTGAATTTGAACCAAGCAGCGACAAAAAGCTGTGATACACATTATGAACTAGCTGTCAAAGTAGGGGATTGTTTACAGTTAAGATTATGTTTTTAATTAATAGCTAATCTTTTGATATATTGAGCAAATATTCAATAATTACTTTTTTTCTTTATGTGTAGTGGTAGAACAATATGGCTATGGTAGATGTGTTATACTATAGCATACCGTAAATTTAAAAAACCAAAAATTCTCAAACCGTGTCCTCCCCTATTGCAAACGCAAACCACGAGTACAACTGCAATAAGCATTTTATACTTATACGCCAACCCCGTAAGAAGGACGGGTACTCTGCTAGTGGTTTATAATTTTAATTTTGTTACTGTACATGGAAGTTGTAGGATATTCTTGAAGAACTTAAGTTTTATGTTTTTAAACACAGTAGCTCAGAGAGAGGTTCTTGGACAGATAGGACACTACTCTGGTTGCCTGCACTATCATATATAACTTTGGTCACCATTCGCTTGCCTATGTGAAATATACCATAATGTTACTTATAACTCTCCCTAGGTACCATATCACCAAGATGAATAGCAGTTGAGAGTAGACAAAAGGTTTTTTGAGGGGTCTGTAAATTATGATCTTCATCGAGCTCCTAGAGCAGCCAAACGGGCTAGTTCAAATCTGAGACCAACATTGTGTTCCTTACTTCATTCGCTATACTATTCTAGTCAGCTGGTTGTCATCCCTATGAGACAACTAGTTTTGTGTTTTGGTAAACACAGTTTGAAAAACGTTGACACTCCTGCCAAGTATATAATCACTTTATGCTTGATAATACATGTCATTCTGTAAACTATTCATACAATAATGTACAAAATAGTTCTTTAATATTTTAATATAGCTGATTGAAAGACAGAGTTGAATCTTGGTTCCACAGCAGTTTGTAGGGAGGGAGACTCCGTGTGAGTTATCTTGTTAAATTAAAGGAGGTTTGTTTTATTCTGTAATTAAATTGGGTAACGGAGTAGCTCACATGTTGTATCAATGTTTTCTTAACGCCAATGTGGATTGGCTGATATGCATTGTCACATAATTATGTATGAGGTTTGTCATTGAGAGTTTGTTGTAAATAAGACTCAACATTGTGTTTTTGCAAGCTCAAAAGGTTGTGTAGGTGAATATATTAAAAGTAAATTATTGATTTTACACCAAGAAAAGATTGAAAAAAGTCTCCAGGTGTAATTCCAGTAGGTAGGTAGGCCTACCTAATAAATTAACTCTTTATTGACTTGTCAACAATTTTAGGAAACTAGACTATATAGATCTGTGGAAAACAGAAAAATGTAGACCTGCAATTCATACTCTATTTGAACTTGAAAAAACACCATGTGGGGACTTATTTACAATAAATTCCCAATAACACTAAACCTTTTGGATAGCTATATGCAACAATACACAACCAGCTGATCGGCAATGAAGTAAAAGGAATACCAATACATAAGCTTGTTTTATTGTTAAACAGTGTCTCATAGTACTTTAATTTGGGTTAATTTTAAAAAAAACACCCTTTGTTTGCCTCAAATAGTAATGAATTTTCTTGTTTTGTTACCACAATTCCTAATCAGACTGAATAATTTTCAGAGCTTTGCCCACCACTGAAATCTTCGAGTTTGGATATAAGATGTTCTTACCAGGGCAAAGAAGTGCCCTGCGATCGTCCAATGAAGCCTGAAACTACCGCTGAGCCCAGGTGTAAGCAGTACTACCAACCTGCCAGAAACCCTGACTACTCTACTCTGTTGTGTCTCAACAACGGAGCATGGACATATCCACTCTTCCAATGCACCCCAGGTACCAGAACAAACCCCTCTCTGATTAATGTGGTCTTTATTCTCATCTCGCCTGGAGCATTAGAGAGCATTTTAAGACCATCTCAAGACAATAAATATAATGTGGTCCATGTAAAAACCATAACTCTTAAATAAAGGATTTTGTTATTTAAACTGTCTTTTTTTCCAAGAGTTCTCTTTTTTACATTCTCTGAAATGTTATACAGGATGCCCTGTCCTGTAAGTAAACAGCCAGGCAAACTCCAGGAAATGGCAGTATTAAGTTGTTCCAAAATTGTTTTGTTAACCAGATATCCACCATTATCTTTCAATCGTTACAATTCTGATCTTTTATGAAATGGCATTTAAATTTTTGTTAAATTCAGAAAGATTGAATAAAAATAACTGAAATGTCATTATTTTTTATTGTAAAATGAGGTAGAACAAAGCTTACCTAGTCAGGTTGCATTTTACAACCAAGAATCGTGATATTTCAGTTATTTATTTTATATTCTATATTTTTGAGCTTGGTGTCGTTTGACAGGAAATGTAAAATTCTAAATAAAAGTGTTGTTGTCATTTTTTTATCAAATCAACCATTTTGTAGTACTGTAATTTCAATTTTAAATATTGAAAGGTCCGCCATTTTTAAATAATAAATTGGAAAAAGATCATTTGTTTTATAACCTGGGTCTTATCTGCTTAGCCAAGTTTCCAATCCAATAAAAGTGTTTATGGAAAAACACAAACTGGCAGATGGCTGTTTATGATTTTCTATTCTTGATTTTCTATTTATTTTGACCCATAGTACCATTTCCCGGAGATTAGCTATTTAATTACTTACGGGACACTCTGTATATTTCTTTTATCAAAACCAATGTCTGGTAACAATTACAACTGTAAAAGGGTGGCTTAGAATATTTAAAAAATCTAGAGAAATTAATACTGTTTTTGTATTTTGTTTATATAATGAACTATTGTGCACCAGAAGAGCATTGACAAGCAAAATAATATATATATACAGGGTGTTTTTTTAAAAACTTGCATCTTTATTTATGTAAAAACCGCAATAGGTAGAAATATGCAGTTTGCGGGAATCATCTATTGACGTAGGGGGCCCAATTGTTTTGAATTCAACGTTACATTCACATTCCCCCCCTTTCCCCCCTTCCCCCAACTTAATTTTTTTAAATAGCAAGGTACCCCTTGTGACATATCAAATGAAAGAGCATGAAAAAAGAAAATGTTTGATGAAAAAAAATTGAAAATCGGTTCAAAAATTTGCGAGATATTTCCCCCCCCCCCTTCCTCGGAACCTAATTTTTTTTTAAAGCAAGGTACCCCTTGTGACATATCAAATGAAAGAGCATGAAGAAAGAAAATGTTTGGTGAAATTTATTTTTCATTTGATATGTCACAAGGGCGGGTACCTTGCTATTAAAAAACAAGTTATGGGTAGGGGAAAAGGGGGGGGGGATTATCTCACAAATTCATGAGCCGATTTTAAATTTTTTTCACCAAAAATTTTCTTTTTTCATGCTCTTTCATTTGATATGTCACAAGGGGTACCTTGCTTAAAAAAAAAATTAAGTTCCGGGAGGGGGAGGGGGGGCATATCTAACAAATTTATGAACCGATTTTCAATTTTTTTTCATCAAACATTTTCTTTTTTCATGCTCTTTCATTTGATATGTCACAAGGGGTACCTTGCTGTTTAAAAAAAATAAGTTAGCGGCAGGGGGGGAAAGGGGGGGAATGTGAATTTAACGTTGAGTTCAAAACAATTGGGCCCCCTACGTCAATAGATGATTCCCGCAAACTGCATATTTCTACCTATTGCGGTTTTTACGTAAATAAAGATGCAAGTTTAAAAAAAAACACCCTGTATATTTAAGAGTTCTCTGTTTTGCTGCAATGAACATGAATTAGAATGATTCTCTGATAACTTAAATAGGCTATTTCGATAAATAACCAGAGAAAAGGTGGACAATAGAAGAGGCCAGAGATTGTGGTCCCAACATTTTTAGGGTTTGGATAGAGGAAAAGAAGAAAACTCTGGGATGAATCTGAAGGAAGTAAAAAAAGTTAATGATAACTTAAAAAATGATAAAACTAGTAAAAATGTGGGTTCACTATAATCTTACAGGGTTTAACACAAATAATTTTGAAATAATTACCGGTACCCACATTTTAGGAATCATCCTCATCCATCATCGTTTTTTGCAGTCAAAGAGGCAATATTTGAGAAAAAAATTAATTTGTGAAAATAATGGGATAAATCCTTCAAACGAAAAAAGAAAATAATAATCTAAATCCAGAAATATGAAACCTAAATGTTAAAAAAAATATTTTATCAGCAACAAATATTTATATTTTCGTTAAAATTTTGAAATGTGTTACATATCCAGACTCTTTGTTTTGTATTAGGCTACACCCAACCTAGAAAATTAATTTGTAATGATATTTTGGAATTTAAAAAGTAAAGAAGCTATATTTGTCTTGCAGCATATGTCAACCTTAATTTTTTTTCCAAAAAATAATTTATATATTATTCTTACAACTAAATGAGGCAGAAAAATAATTATGTTAATATTAATTTAAATGTTCAATGCAACTTGAAAATGACACCAGATATAAAGAGTTGGACACCAAACTAGAGAGCTACGGTTGTTTCACACTAAACGGTTTTTGCCGTACCGTTAAATACACCATACAATTTTATGCCGTGTCTATGCTTCATTTATACTTTAGACGGTTTCTGAGTACGGCTAGATAAATGGTTTGCAAATTTCAGTTTGCTGACCAAAACAATGAACCTTAAATAAATTTTGGAGGCTATTTCATCTACCTATGTCGTAAAAGATGTTTACGGAATTGTCTTCAATAGGTACATCCAATCCTCGTGGCAACATTTTATCCCATAACACCGGTTGGATTTAATTAATTAGGTCAATTAATACTTTTATCATACATAGCTAACAATATTAGAATACCAATAATGAAAGACACTGAAATGGTAAACTTATAACACTCAAAAGTCAAAATACATATAAACAATATTGTCCAATTGACAAGGGGCTGGTGGGTTTCCAGTTGACTATACACTATGCTGTGGACAAGCTCACATAAGACTACATGAGCCACTGACGCAAGGCCACTGTGTGACAACCGTCCGGTTCAGTGGCAGTGGGCGACGGCACAGTTCTCGTCAGCCCAAAATTGTGTAATCTGAAAGCACTCATACTCTTCTACACACTACTATACAAATTTGTACCGTTTTCCGTAAGGAGCCTCATTGTAACAGAGATTGAGAGAATATTATATCAAAAAGGGGAGATTAATTAGGACTTAGCTTTTACGCCAACACCAGCTATCACCATATATAGGTATAGTCATGATTCATGAATGAAGTAGGCTCTTTCTGACTAATTGTATCACGAAGGTTCATCAGGTATTTTATAAACGACTTACCAGTATCCTAATACTTTAAATATGTACCTATTCACCTAATCCTTTTTTTTTTAATTCCTCATATTACATACTGTACATTTAAATAGTGGAATAATGATTGTCTTTAAAAAATCTTTGATATCACACTTATATTACAGACTGTGGTGTCAGTACGGCAACGGCATCCAAACCTTTGATAATCAATGGAAATGCCACAAAACAAGGACAATTCCCGTGGTTGGCTGCCCTGTATCACCTCACCAATTCCCAACAATGGGAGAACACGTGTGGGGGAACTCTGATCACTCCTCATATTGTGCTGACAGGTAACAAGCAACTGTTGTTATGACTAAAATTATAAAGAAATAAGATAAACACGTCATAAGTGGAAACAGAGTAGTATACTAACCCCCCCAGGATTTTATGACTTAACTTATAAATAATTTTCAAACAACAATTTGACATTGACAATGATGAGTCATTGAGTTATTCTAGGTAATGCTTAAATTGTAGTTAGAGATGGGAAATAGACAATATTTTACAAAATCTGTCATATACATTAAGTAAAAATGCTATAATTTACAAGAACATTGCAGACAAACATGAAGTCAATTCAGGTTTTCAAACCATTGTCTTGTTCCAGGGGGTCAAGTTAATGTAAAATACTATACAGGGTGATTGGTACTCAGTGTGAAAAAAATTGTTTGGTGTAAGTACAAAGAAAATGAAGTTGTATGATACATATCAAATGTTCCAAGTCTAAAAAATAGCTTAGCAAAAAATTATTTTATGTTTTTCAAAAATAACCATGCTTTTAAACTTAATACAGCGATTTCTCAATTAACTGTATATGGATTTGAGTAGATAATGTCATTTTCGTGTTCTACATTAAATTTTGAACAAGAATAATAGAAAATGACGGAGGATCAGTTGTAAAACTCCATTGTAAATAGATTAAAAAATAAAAATTAAGATGTTTGATAAAAATTTAAAAAACAATTAATTGACTATTGCATTTTTCACACCCTGTATACAAGAAAGTGTCAGAATATGTTAAAAAACTGCCCCATTTTATAAGCTTTCCAACCATATGCTACACTATTGAGGTTTAGATATTTTTTTGTTTGTTTTAGTGGTTTGAATACCAGAAAACAGGGAACTTATTTACTGTTTTTACTGGTCAAGCTGAAACAAAAATACAACTTTTGCTTAATACATGCCGACTTTCTAATGTTTTAAATGTAAAAGACACCATGCTTTGTAGTCTTTAAAGCAAAAAGCGGCTTTAAATGCCGCAGTTTTTAACATATTCCGACACTTTCTTGTATACAGGGTGTGAAAAATGCAATAAACTATTGTTTTTTTTTAAATTTTTATCAAACATCTTAACTTTTATCTTTGAATCTATTTACAATGGAGTTTTTACAACTGATCCTCCGTCATTATCTATTATTCTTGTTCAAAATTTAATGTAGAACACGAAAATGACATTATCTACTCAAATCCATATACAGGTAATTGAGAAATCGCTGTATTAAGTTTAAAAGCATGGTTATTTTTGAAAAACATAAAATAATTTTTTTGGGAAGCTAATTTTTAGACTTGGAACATTTGATATACATCATCATACTGCATTTACTTTGTACTTGCACAAAAAAAATTTGTCACACTGAGTTCCAATCACCCTGTAAAAGATCTGTTTTAACATATTTTATCTGTTGCTATAGTCTGTTTAAAACCTTACAGAGCACAGGGAACTTTAAATTTAGACTTTTTTACAGGAGGCCATGGCCTCAACTGGCACCCTCTGCGGGTACTTATGTTTTAGAAATTCTGCATTTTAGGAAAGGATGTAGGATTTAGCATGGGGAAGTGCAAGTTCAGTCCTGGTAGGCATATGGTATCATGGAGTTATTCACTTGAGATCAAAATCAACCTTGTTGACTGTATAACCCTTCTGCTCATGCAGTGTAGAGATGTTTGGCAAAGTTGTTTTCTTGAATAGTAATAAAATGCTCAGTTTAGTGGGTTTGTATAAATGATTGAAGTTTCTGGATAACAGAGTAATCTAGTTTACCGATGATGAAAGGTTGTGTGAAAGTCTCCTCTTGCCAACAACAACTCTAGCAGGTGATTGCTAGAGATCTTACAGGGTTCGGACAGGAGCTGAATAGACTCCATGATAAATTATTCAGATTATTGATTAATTGGGTCTTTAGCTTGAGTCAATACACAATACTTTGTGTAAGGCCAACTCAAGTAATTTTTATGACCTAACATTATTTAAGAAATTCTACTTATAATAAAATAAACCTATATAATACAGTAGAGTCTTTGATTATCCTACCTAAACTGGCCACAGCAAGGTCGGACAACACTGAAAATAATAAAAACACCGTTCACACAGTTGCTGTAACCGCGAGATGAATTTACAATTGCGTCACAAGCGTTAGACATGATGACAATTAATTGTGTCATAATCGTAGGAAATGTTCAAGAATTTCATTTGAAAAATCAGGAATCACCTTGATATTGCCCAGGAAGGTCGGATAATCAAGACTCTACTGTAGTAGTTGTAACAGAGTTATATTAAATATACAAGTTTGTTGAGTTCCTAATTGCCATGGTCTTTTTTAGCGGCTCATTGTGTGGTTAACAAAAACGTTCCTCAGCAACCAAGTGAAATAAGAGTTGGACTCGGAAAATACTATCGAGACTTTTATAAGCAAGAAGAATCATCTCAAATTGCAGAGGTGTGTATAATGAACTTTGAACGCTGTATCTACTTATCTATGGTATCTGTATATTCAATACATACAAAGGTTTATGCAAACTATCCCTGTAAGGTTTTTTGTTTCAAGACCTACCCCTACTTATTACACATTAAAACCCACGTCTAGGTGTGTAGATGTGTATTCCTTATGTATTCAATTTTAGCAATAAATATTGAGAAAATTCTAAAAAGTTTGTTTAATAATTGGTTTGTTTACATTTCAATTTTATAACTAAAACAGCTAAGTATTTCAACTGCAAAAATTCCAGCTGTTTCATTTCTTGGAAATCCTTAAAACCCCAAACCAACTGTTTTTCTTTATTACCCATCGAGAATGGGCACATGCAAGCAAATTTTAACCCAAATATGAGCAAATGATAGGTAAAACATATTAGTTTAAGTATGGAATAAACAATAATAAGAACAAAAATAGTATCTTTCTACACTTGGCGCCGCGGCTAGGGGTGCGCCACGGCTTTGGAAGGTAAAGAATTAAACGTTATTGGCAAACCGCAAACGAATTTTTTACGGGATATTCGTAAACATGTAAGTAATCAATGACAATGACTATTCTAAAAATAGGCAATATATAGCTTTTTGTTTTATTCATAAAATAAATACCGTTATTTAATATACAACTCGTACTATTACTACTTTTACGTCTGGCATGTGACTTGTTGGCAATACTGCGAGTCCGAGGCACACACTGTGTAGTGTGTATTCACCCACACGCCCACCTACACTTGCTTGTTTCTAAACTTCAAACTCCTACTTCAACTCATAGTCCTTTCATGATGTCCATTGTGAATCGTAAATTCAAAGTTTTTAGTAATTTAGTTCATTGTAGTTGTTACGTTATTAACAAAAATTTGAAAAACGTTCAATATCCATATATCGGACGTTGGGTCTATTGATGCAAACCCCCCAAATACCTTTTTTGGGGAGGGGGTGAAAATTTAAATCTCACCCCGGGCGTCTATTACCCTCAGGGCGGCTGTTTCTACACAACAATACCCAAATAAAAAATAAATAAAAACACTCACAATAAATAAATGTCAATACTGTAATTAGACCTCTAAGGATGCACTAGCATGTTTTGACAGTTTGTTGTGATTATAAAAATCCTTCTAATGCTGTTTTAGGTTAGAGAGGTGATTGTTCAGAAAAAATACTCTGGTGTCGCTTCTTTCTATGCGCTTGACATTGCATTGCTAGACCTGGTGGAAAGTGTGTTAATAACAGCCATAGTCATGCCAGCGTGTGTTGACTGGAGCAATACCTTCAGACCAGCTCCTAATGCCGTGGGAGTTGTAAGTATGATACTTTAGCTACACACAATACTGAGGTCATGATAATGAGGCCACACCAGTCAAGTAGGCCTACTTTATTTTCACAACACACGATAGATATATTTCAATTATTTCCCAAAACTAGCGCATGGCTGGAGAAGCTGGGTGACATTGTCAATTTGTCAGCTACGACTTGTTCATATCAGTTGAAACACATCATTTGGGGTGTTTCAAGCCAAATATGACTTTGAGATAAACATAGGGATTGACTTGCATGCTTTGTTTATTTTTCTTATGATGTAAGACAAACAGATTGTTTTGCTTTGGATAATTTCTTGAGAGAGAAATAATCAATGACAACTGGATCCAGTTTTGAAACATTGTAAGACACACAAAAATTGCCTAGCATGGCCAAAAACACCGCAAAGACCACCTCACTACAAGAGAAACATTTGCAAAGGGGAGGGGAAGGGGAATGAAAACTTATGTTTTTGGGGACTCTCAGATTAAATTGTAAACACTACCTACCACCACACAAATACCTAACCTTGCAGATTATATTAGGGTACCTCGCAACCTCATACCATTACATACACTCATTTCCATTCATACTTGGCTTAAAATACCTACTTTGTATGGTCACCATTTCAATAACAAAGACAAAGTGAAAGTATACCGTAAGCATTACTATTACTTTTATGAACCACAGATCTGAAAATAGTAATATTATTCCTAAACCAGTTTTTACTGAATACATTTAGGTTTGATTCAAAATATTGTTTTTCCTAGGTAGCTGGATGGGGAAAGACAGAATCAGGAGCTGCAAGTGATGTTATTTTATCATCTAACTTAAATTACATTGGATACGAAAAATGTCTGAACGATATCAGAGCTGGTTTGAAACAGTTACTGACCCATGACAAGTTCTGTGCAGGAAGTCCAAATGGTAAGTTGCTTAGAATAAGAATTGACAAATTATCAGTCAGACAAATATTACACAAATATTTCAACATGAGATGAGAAAACTGTGTTCCAAAATGGTGCTTAAAATCCTCATTCCTGAACAAAAGCACTCACAAATGGAAATATATTTTAATACATTTTGGAAAACATCAAGAAAGACTCTACACTGTAAAGGGTATTTTTTAAGTATTTTAACCGTTTTGTTAATTTTAATGAGCTTCACAAAAACATTAACGTGATTAATTATAACATGTATTGTTTTTCCGATGAGTGTCAAATAAAAATCTGATACGGATGAAGGCTGTGGCCGAACTAAGCAGCCTAGTTTCACAAACAGGTCTGAATGTGGAGGTTATTGCAGAGTATTTGGCTTGACCTTTAGTCTAACACAAAGTCTCCTAGGAACCATATCAGCAGTCTTTTTATTTTATAGCCACACCTTCTAAATCACAACCATAAATCATTCTAAATCTTGGTTTTTACTTGTTTCAGGAAGTAGAGTTGATAATGGAGACAGTGGTGGAGCATATACAATAGTGAAAAATGGATTGCATTTTGTGGTTGGAGTTGTCAGCACGAAAATTCCAGAAGTTGAGACATTTACTCTGTTCACAGACATCACCAACCAGGTGCACAACAACTGGTTGGAAGCAGAAAGAAACCGGCTGCTACAGGTTCATCGAGAAGCAAAATAACTCTTTTGATCCAAATATTTAGTATTTATTTTAGCTTAGATTAATCTTTAATTTCCAGATTCAGTTCTGTACTGAGATCAGGTTGTTAATCAAGGGTATTAATTTGTTTCATTGTTTCTAGTATTTTAATATATATAGGCCTAACTACCACATGGGTTATACAATGTAGCCTACTATAGGTTTGTGTGACTGATTTTTACCCATTGCTAACCATTAAAAATTAAATTTTGTGTTAGGTTAATTTTCCAAGGAAACACCTATTTTGTTAGTAATTTTTCTCTCATTAAGGCTGAATACTGAAGCTAGTCTAAAAATTCTGAAGACACTTACATTATGTAGGGGGGGGGAGGGGTGATATTGTTTGCATTCATCAAAGTTCTTGTGGTTTGCTAGATACGTAATAGGTTCGCTGCGACTTCGTTATGCTGTGACTTAAAAGCACTGTGACCTGTTTGTCAGTGGAACGCAGCAGCCTTTTTATTTACTTTCTCCCCCTATACTTAGTATATGGAGAAAGTATTGTTTTTGTCAAAATGTTTGAGTTTTGAGTGGATATATCCGTTTTGAGTCCCCCTGAACCCAAAAAAGTGGTTTTCGAAGTGATGTCTGTGTGGATGTGTACAGAGCTACGGGTCACACCTGTAGTCCGATTTTGATGAAATTTGATATGTAGGTCTATCTATCTACTAATCCATGGTATTTCCAGGCGGTTTTTTTTTCATTTTTTTAATTTTGATTTTTAATGGTGCTTTTCCCATAAAAACCCATAAAATAACAGAAAAATCGGATTTTCTAAAAAATGGCCCGAACTATTTTGTTTGATAAAACTTTAGTGTGTTATAGTCCTTTAAAATTCTAAACCAAATGGTTCAAATACCATTACCTTAAAAATTACGGTCCCAAAGTTATTGTAACTTATCTTATTTTCTCATTAAAACCCCATAAAATAACAAAAATCGGATTTTAGAATAAAAGCCGTTTTTGATTAAAATTACTATGTTATGGTCCTTTACATTCTGAAAAAAATTGTACAAATCCCATTTTCGTAAAAATTAAGGTTCAAAAGTTGAATCTCGATGTTATTTTGTCATTAAAATACCCCAAAAATCTGATTTTAAGAAAAAAAAGCTGGGTTTGATTAAAATTAACGTGTTTATAGTGGGTTATTAATGTGTTTTAATTCTAAACATAATAGTGCAACCCCTTTTTGCTGTAACAATTACGTTTTAAAAGTTATTCCAACTTTTTTGATTTTTCTCTATAAAATATAATAGTTACTCACTGCTTACCCATGATAAAGGTTGTTGACATGTTTATGGGAGAAAGTATGTGTCAGATTGCTGAAACCGTTTATTTTTCATTAGTTCCCAAGACTGTGTAAGATATGCGTGGTTTTGGTGGGTTGCGGTGAGTGGAAATAAGGGATGAGTTCACGTGAGAGATCGTTAGCAACTTCTATATTGTTATATGTTGATTTAGATGATATTATTAATATTTTTTGTGATTCAAACTCTGAAGAGTCGTAAGCCGTGTCCCGATTACAAAAGGAGAATAAGTGAGGGGGCTTAAAAAATATTTGTTTGTATAACATGTTATTATTAGTTTGTATTACAACAACCGGCAGGATCAAGTTAAACTATATAATATGCTGTGTTGATTGTTCAAAAAACTATTGAATGCTAGTTTTTAAAATCATCAAAAAAATATTAATCTGAATTTGCAGTTTTAGAAAAATTGAAACATGCAATACTCTCCAAAGTGCCATTTTAATTATTGCTTGGTTTTGGTTTGAGAATCTAGATGCAGTTTTACTATAGACAAGTAGACTTCTCATCATAAAATATACAAATTGTTTTTTGTGTCTAGTTCATGTTGGTGACACTGGGCGCTATAGTGTCCTATTATTTTAGGGTTAATTTTATGATTTGTGTTTCAATTTCCAGTAATAATTATTGGACACATTTTAACCCTCCGAGTGTCCCTTGTTTTGGCCTTAATGTCTGCCTATTTTTTGCTCATTTGCAAGGTTTTATTAAAACGGATCTGAGAAGCTTGAAAACAATGTTAATTATACTGTTCTATATACCATTTTGTTTGGAAAATCATGGGCTTCAATATTATATATAAAACATAAGGAACATTTGTTTAAAAAAAATTTTTAGGTAAAAAAAATATTTTGGAAAATTTTCAAAAAAAAATAAGTTTGCGCTCAATGAAATTGTATAAATTATAGGCCTATAAATATTTAAAACCGGCCACTTTGTTTAAAATTTTATGAGGATTACAAATATATAATCATATAGTGAGGTAAGTTATCAAATAAATAAGTTATGAGTGAAAAACAGATTTCAGTACATAGCGTTTAGCTAAGAATGCATAGCCTAACCATAGCTAGGAATCTGGCTGATAATTTACATCAATATCACTACCTACTTCTTCAGGATCATCAACCAGCCCTTCAAAATCACTTAAATCTTCTTATAATGCACCACGTATATCACTACTTTTGATTTTAACACTAAAACAATGATAAACGTAATAAAACACATCAGTCATCGGTCCGAGGTTAACCAAGCTGTATACAAATACGCACGTCAGCTGTCTGCTACAATATTTTCGGAACTAAAATGAAAAGCGCTTAGAGACAGACCTCCGGAGAAAGCTCTGAATCTGTAAAATAAAACGATACCTAACTCGATCCAGTTCAATCCGATTTTGTCAGTCATAGAGCCTTCGCCGTAAACAGTGTTTGTGAGTCGCTGCGACACAAAACACTACACAAAGTGTGTTATGTGTCGCTGCAGCGACAAATAACACTCGGAGGGTTAAGATTACATAAACAAAATAACCAAGCGACAAGAGACTTAAAAACATGGGAATAGAAACTGTTTTATTAAGTAGCAAATTTAAAACTGTTTTATACGGTAACTGCAAAAAATATAATTATAAAAAATTCAGCAATTATGAAAAGTAGTTATAAAAAGACTGTAAAAATCACCTAAAACTGTTGTTTTAAATTATGTTTCTTTTAAGGTGAGGAGTTTATACTATATATTGGACACTTCCCATGTACCACCATTTGATCAAAACTTAATAGAATTGTTACACGGAGAATTACGGCCATACTCTAACCTTCATCGAACAGTTATTATAAATTTGCTTTCATGAAACCAAAGAATTTGCTTTTTATTACACACTAAAAATTTTGTTAATTAAGTCAGCATTAAGTCAAGCAACTTAACAGTATATTTAATAACAAGAGTAGAAAGTGAGTCATTACATATTTGAGTCTACATGTAAAGAACCACTTTCACTCGTTTTTTGAATGTTACTTTTTGCTACACTACAAAGACTAATTATTTTCTTAATTAAAACAGATATTGGATATTTCTTTATTACAACTAGGAACATTACAAAACTCATAGCATTTTTTTAGGTTATGGCTACAATTTAAAGTTAATATTTACTTAGTTGTTCAGTTTTAGTTGTTGAAAATTTAAACAGTTGACAAAACAATAACAAATCTTTGTTTGTTTGTCGGCAAAATAAAAAAAAAGATAGTAAACATTACTTTTGCATAGTAAACAAAAAAACATTCTTTTTCCGTAGTAAACAATGTAATGATGAATTTTCGCAGGTGATAAAATGTAACGAAAACAGGTCATTTCACAGTAGTGTAGCTACTATTAATGTGTGGAACAATCTTTTTTGTACAATGTTGTTTATCCTCTGTTATTTTAATTAAACATTAAAGCACACTTTTTGAAACTCCTCTGCTCCTATTTTTGAAACCCTTAAATAGGATAGAAACTGGATGCTTAGGTACCTAAAGTCGGGACCACGAGAGTCTGAAGTTGGCGGCAGCCAATCACAAGACAAGGCTAGTGTGACGTTGCCATATCGCCCGTTGACAACACTAATTAAAATACTACCGCGACCGGTAAACAATATTTTCAAATCAGCTGGTATTATTGGATTTGGCAACTGTCCTCATTGGCTCCTTCAAAGTCACGTGGTAAATAGGCTCCTCCCTCAACTGCAGACTCTCGTGGTCCCGACTGTAGTAAGTAACCTTGTCAAATGTCAGTACGAAAAAATCAGGGACCAAAACTGACTTAAGATTTGAAAATCGGAAAAATCCACTTGCTGTAAATGTATATGAACCACAACAAAACCATGTTAAAAATTATCAACCCTATTTAAATTTATTTTAATAAACTTTTAGGTTTGTGATTTAAAAACCATAAACTTAATAACTTCCAAATAATAAAATCTGTTGACAGCTTTCAAGTAAATAATTGGAGTCATTGTTTATTTACTTGTGAATTTCAATAAGCATGAATCTTGTAATGAGCAAAATTCACTGTTCAACATCGTCAATTAAATGCTTAGGTAGCTTTCAGAACATATATGTTCTGTATGACAATAGGTCTTTTGTTTTTTTTTTTCAAACTGTTAAATCTTGCATAAAATTTAATGTTTACAAAATAGTGTAATCACTCTGGCACATTTGAAAAAAATCAAATATTATCATCACTAAGAAAGAACCAACATATCATTTGTTTTGTCACATATGTCACAAAAATGACATAGAAAAAATTCACAAAATAAGTTATCAAAGTGAATCACCAATCATCACAGCCATGAATCTCACTGCTATATTCATGTTGTAGTGGCTAATTTTAATCAGCAGAGTTTTGATGAATTGCGACCAATATTTGGTCGGTTTGAGTTATTTACATCTCTCAGTAGGCTTTGATTGATCCTGTAACTGTTCGACAACCTGAGTTAAGGAATGTTGCAGGAGTTCCTCTAGCTTGGAATCAGGTAGCCGGTGGTTGATCATTCCCTTGAGTGTTCGAGTCTGTCGGTTTCACCAGATCCAGTTTCATAGTTTCTCCAGTTGCCTTGGAATAGGATGGAGGGTTGATTCCCACTACTACATCATAATCTGGTGGTAAGTCAACATGAATCCAGTACGGAACGTTGGTTTCACTCTGTAAAGAAGAAATACTATAGTCAAAGCAATATAATCAGTCTTCTTAAGTTGCTCAGATTTCATATTGATGTTATTTGGTCCAGGATCACTTCTTGAATATTAAAATGGTATACTATTACCTGTTTCCGTCTGTGATCCTATATTTGTTGTATAGAGCAACCGGTTTCAAGGTTATAACCTCATCTTCAGGCTCTTGTTGTCACTCTTGCGAGATCGTCGAGTTTTATAAACACACAAAAACACTAACATTGAAATAAATAAACACGAGACATTGACAGACGAAGACGATTAACATAAATTCGGGAACTAGTTCCACACCACACGACGCGGCACGGGCAAATGTTTTGTCATTACTCAACATTTGCCCGTGCCGCGTCGTGTGTGGAACTAGTTCCCGAATTTATGTTAATCGTCTTCGTCTGTCAATGTCTCGTGTTTATTTATTTCAATGTTAGTGTTTATGTGTGTTTATAAAACTCGACGATCTCGCAAGAGTGACAACAAGAGCCTAAAGATGAGGTTATAACCTTGAAACCGGTTGCTCTATACAACAAATATAGGATCACAGACGGAAACAGGTAATATTATACCATTTTAATGCTCAGGATTTGTATTTATATTCTAGATTTTAAATAGTACTGCAATAATTAGTTGTCAAAATTGTTTGTTTATAATGTACCTGCTTGTTGCTAAATGTATATCTTTAATCAATTGGTTAATGCTTGTACTAATTTAAGTCGTTATATTGTAAAATGGTTTATGCCGTTAATAAACTAATTGAATTGAATTGAAAGCAAATAGATCTGGCGGGTCAAGGTATTTATTTTAAATAAGCCATCTGGTATTAATCAATCTGCCAGTTCTATTTGTGTTGACTATAGCACAGTTGTTTGGACACAATACTGTGCTAGTAATTATTTTTTTCTATCACAGTTGTGTCCAAACATATGATTGTAGTACAGTTGTCCCTCAATAATCCAACAGCTATGGGTTCACGGGGACGTCAGATTACCGAATGTATTTTTTATTAAGATTGGGGTGTTTCTTATGTATTATTAGTTAAGCCAGTTGTAGCGCTAACGATTCAGAGCCTACCTACTTGGTAAAATTCTGGTGCTCACTAGACTGTTTAAGTGCCAGTAAAAAAACATTTATTATGTTTGGTCTCTTCCCGCGACCCGCCAAAATTGCTCCTGCTGCCCACTAGTGGATCCTGACCCATAGTTTGGTAACCCCTGACATAAGAGATTGAGGTTCTCTGCTACCTGCTTCTCAGAACATGCCATCATGCCAAGGGCCTTGGTTACTAAGACTGAATACGTCACCAATCATTAGTGTAACATTGAAAAATTTATAGTTTTATTTTTCTAAAAAAGGTCAAGCGGACCAAATACAGTAAGGGTTACTCTAGGTTATAGCAAATAAAATGTATTAGTAGTGGAAAAATTCAACCACTATCAAACACATAATAAAAAACAGAATAAAGCTATGAAGTTGGCAATCAGACAAGGAGTCTAGTGGGTTGTTGACTAATCACCAGATTCAGTTATCAGCTATAGTGTACCTTATCAGTAAAAGGTTAGAAGACTTCATGTCAATATAATTTCTTGAATACGACAGTCAAATTAAAGTTCAATATGTTGTTAATGTTGTCACATCCATCATATCTCCACTATTTTTTGCATTTATCTGCCTTGACTCACTGAGATACATTTTAAGACCTATGTATGGATGTAAATGGGTTGTGGCGAGTGAAAATTTTGGAACGTACGTTTTAATGTCACTTGCCTTTTATTTCGTAGATACTGTATTTGTAGTTTATCATTATGTGTTTTAATATTGTTTGGGATGGAAGCAACATGTTAAAAACATTTGTTTGGTTTAAAATAGGTTCGAAATGCCGAAATATATGCCACATTTTTATGTCATCAATATCAAGGTTTATTAAACTTACAAAAAAGGAGCATATAATAATTTTGTTTTCATTGCGAACTGACTACCATGACAAAATAATGTGTCGTGTTTTTCCATTAAAGATGCTGTATTAATAAAAAAAACATCAAATGTATTGTGTTACTATGGACATTTTATAAAACTTCTAATGTCGATAAAATATTAAAATAAAATTAAATAATATAAAAAACATTTGGAAAAAAATAAACAAAAATTTATCAATTGCTCTTTTGGAAACGTACGTTTTTAAATTTTCACTCGTGCCTCAAGACTAAGAACAAATCTGTGGTCTATGAGCATTTTAAATACCACAAATCAATATGTAAACTGATTGCTAATAATTATATGTTCTAAGTATTTATTTTATTTTAAAAACACATCTTAGCCTTCACCAGGAACAGTTAAATTTCTTCATTTTACTAAAGAAGAAATTATTTTGATAAAAATAATAGATATTGTGTGCTGCTTGCCTAGATGTTATTGTCTCGGACTTTGGTGTGAGAGGGACAGGTTCAGTCCCCAACATATCAACAAAATTTGATGGGTTTGGACTACTTTCCCTTAAACACAATCATTGATTTTTTATAAAGTCAATGACACAATTGTAATTCCTTAATTTAAAATGACACTGGTCTAGATACCAAATTAAAGGTTAAAATTACCTGACACATCTCCCAACATAAGCTTATTAACAACCCTTATCCTTAGCAATGGGAGTAACAATGATTTTGATGGGGAAAATCATCAAAGTTCAATAACTTTTGAATTGTTAATTTTTCAACAATGGGGGCTGTGCTGTGCCATTTTGTTTAGAGTTGAAACAACGACTATAACATACTAAATTTTGATCAAAACCGGTTGAGCAATTTTTTAGGCTTGGACTTGCTTTTAAAGGTTTTTTAGGAAAGCTCTGTATAGTTTGTACGGATCAAATTTGACTTAGAGAATTTAATATCAAAGTAACTTTGCAAATTAATCAACTGCCAAAGTACTCTGATGAAACTAACGTAGTGTCCTGTATAACTCATTTTAATGATTCATCTGTTATGTATATCTTAGTTTTAATTATTATGTTAATTAACACGTTAACTGCGGTTGCATGATGGCTAGCTGTGGCCAGTGACGGAAACAGCTATTGCGCAGCATGGTTTAGTCCGCAAAATCGTTTTAATTTAGTTTCATCCAAATGAGAGGCATAGCATGCACTGCATTCCAGTCGTTGTGGAGGACGTAGTTTTACAAGAACCTAACAGATAGCAGCACTAAACTAAACTGCTACCAGGCCCTCAATATTGCCAAATGGAAGGAAAAAGCATGGGCAAAAAACCTGGATGCTCAATTTTGAGGTTAGGTTCCTTCCCCAATTCTTCAATACAGTAATTATTATCATTATTCTATTCCATTTCCCTAAATCCAAGCGAAAACCCCTCACTACACTAAATTTGGAACAGTCTAACACTTAGCGATAGGAAAAGTCCATCTATTTTATCTAAATTCTAAAATAACAGTCGGATCTGAAAACAAATTTTACTGGATTTAAGTATAAAACTGGCACAAGCGGCAATTGTACACAAGTTCCACACTGAAGCAAGGTTGGCATAGGTGGAGGACGAATTTTTCCGCCCCATCCCAGAGGTGCCAGTACCGCTGGGCGAGAATTCCCTCTCCGCAAGCTTAACGTGTTAAAACATAACAAATTGCCATTGCCGTGGATGGACACAAATTAAAAATACCCCCGCCGCAGCAAACCTGCGGACTAAGCGAATTTCCATTTGCCTGATTGGATTCACACTAAAATGTTTCCTTAAAAATATCACATTTATTCCCTATTTAAATATAATTAGTTAAACGAGTACGGTACTTAGGTTTGCTGCAACAGGGAGGGTAAAAGTGATTTTTTATGTTAATAGTTTCATTATAAATAAATGCATTTTCCAAATTTTATCAAAATATGTTCATAAACAAGCAAACTACAACAGTTTACTTATTCTCCATAAGAATAACAAGGGAATTTTAAATTGACAACTTTTTGGAATTTTCTCCGTAATCAGTAGGTGCATAATAACGCTTCAATACAATAAATTATTTGTTTTTTAAGCTCAGCAAAATGGTTTGGAAAGAAATTGCCAAATTTTATGTTAATGGGAAAAACCAATTTTTACCCCATAAGAACCAACCATATAAATAGAAAGCTGCCATAGAAACCCATATGGGGTTTTTTGTTCCCATAGTCCGATCATGCTGGTTCGCGAACTCGTTCAAATAAACTTAGGTTAACACGTTTATACCAAATTTTATCATAATCGGATCATTTTTGCTCGAGTTATCGTGCTAACGGACACATACATATATATATGAATTTGAACGGATGGTGTTTTTGGCCTCTAGGGACCTCAAAACGAAAAAAGTATAGATCGGTCCCCGGTCCAGGTCTTACCATTAGAGTACTACGGTAATAGCTTATTCTCAATATGGGAAATTCGCTAATAAATACTTTTATTATTAAAGAAGAAATAGATAAATTTGAAAAAATAAAACCAAAGGTTGAGTGTTTAGGATTCAATTTTATACCATTTTTGTTAAATACTGATTTTAATTATCAGGGTTTTTTTGGTTTTTACCAATTTATTGTACAGTGAATCATTGGAGTTGTTTTTTTTTTGTTTTTTTTTATAAAGCAACCTATCCTTTTTTATTTCACTTCATTCTCTATGAATGAGGGAGGTACTATTGTGTATTTTCATGGCCTCCTCTTTTATATAGCCACGGTGTGGCAAGAGAAAAGTGGCAACATTGCAGCTCCAACCTATTGTAACAGTATTGCACTAATTTATAGTGGTGCGCCTGCACAATATTTGTGATTACATGTTTGTTATTACCTTGGCAATAAACCGGCCGGTGTGACGTTGCCACAAACCAACGCTGTAGTTTTGTATTAGAAAACGCTATGGTATTTTCATCTATTGTAGCTTGTATCTGCACTGATGCCAGCTGTTTGTTAAGACAAATAAACACAACAAGTTTTATCGTTACCTCCCGAAACGTAGGTAGTGTTAGTGTAGTAAAAAACATGATCTTAAAATACAGTAGGTAACTTATAGGTAAAATAGGTTAAACTTGGACCTTAAAAATATAAATAACTTAACTTTTGTATAAAAATAATATGTGATAAGGAAATTTTTTGGACACCAATTTACCTCAAATGATAAGTTGCTGTGACCTTGACGCTCAGATGTAGCGTCTACACTATCAGCCAGGTGTGAGGTAGGTACAGTCAGGTCTTGCACAAAGTAGCCTGGGAGACTGTACGTACAGGTGAAGGTGGCCAAGAAGATAAGAGCCACAAACACCACAGCCAGCCACAGGTATGCTGAGTGCAGGGAGATGCTGATGGCCAGGAAACAGCTGGTGGTGATCAGCAGCACAGCTGTGCTGAGGAGAAAGGCCAGTGGGTTGTCTTGGAACAACACCATCTTGAACTCATGTTACACTCTACTGCCTTCTGTCTCATCACAATCTTCAGTTTGGAGTGGAACTTATCTTTATCTTTACTACAATTGACTTTTACTTACACATTATTTTACTGCTTATCATTGATGAGGTGTGGAAAAAATTACACAATAGACAGTAAAATTTCATTATTTTGACCGTTTTGTTTTTACAGAAATTAAATTTCATTATTACCAAATGAAAGCATCGAATCTGATTCTCATCATGAATTTATTAATAAGATTGCTAGGCATTTGTGTTTTAAAGGATGCAAATTTGACAGTAATTAGTGTGATTAGTGAGAGAGACTAGAGTGGAATAAAAAAAATAAACTTTCTCCCACCCTTCTATCAAATTGAAAGAAATACTAAAAGTGTATTGTAATAATCTAGTCCTAACTCTACATACCATTGAATTTTTTGCCCAAATAAAAAAATATTTAGAAATATTGTTGATACTTTTTAGTTTAAATTTAAAATACAAATGGCTATAGTACTGTACATTACATTATTGCTCTAAGCAGCCAATTTTTTTACAGATATTCGGAAGCTTAACGCGAGAAACTTACAACCCAAAAATTTACAACAGAGTTAACATAAGTAAAGTAAACGTTTCTGTTTATTTAGTGACTATTTACAAAATTTGTCTGATGTTTGATTACAAGTAAGGATTGCTTCAGTAATCATAAATGTGGTGTAATATTCACTTATCACAATGACATCATGAGTGTAATCTGTGATCCCAGCAAATGATGATCATCTTTGTTTATCCTATGGACATAATGATCCTTTATTTGTTTGAGGAAAAACACAAGACGTTTTTACTGACCAAGCAAACTTCGCAGACTTCTTCCAACATCACAATACTTGTTGGATATGTTTAATTTTTATTATTTTAACTCAAATAATTCCTTACTGTATTTATACAATTTTCTGTTTCAAACAATGTCTTTGACCAAGTAATATTTCCTTTATTCAGCCGCTCCTCACGATAACAAAGGTATGCGGCCTTTATCCTCACCGATGATATCCTTGCAAACGACACAGTCCAGTGTCATCCGGCAACGGGAAATCATAATCTTTCTATGGTTTATCCGCACCATTTTTTCATAATCCCGCAACGGCCACAACGTTACAATATTCAGATTTCAGTTCCTTTTAATCAGTCTGTATAGTGAGTAGGCTAAGTAAAATTCACACCTATTTTATTTATTTTTAACAAGGAATTAATTTTTTTTCTTTGCACGGACAATTATTTGTGAATAGTGCAAATTAGCATTTCAACATGGACTGGACATGGACACTCGTAAACGCCGCCATTGCTCAGTGCTTCAGGTCAGGTCAAACACTGCTTTAGCTTCACTAAGGTCTGTGACAGTATAATTTTAATATTGGTTTGCACTTAACAAGATACAAACTTTCAAGAATCAAAATTTAGTAGCCTAATTAAGGCTGATTAGTATTTCATTCAACTTTTGATAGCTAGGAACTATTTTTACGCATTTTACCCAACAATACTCTTTAATTTAAAATATTAAAAAATTATTTTGCCTCATTCAATGGGTCTCTGTCACAGATTATATAGAAACAAGACCAGGGTTGGATCTGTTCTCGTTCAAAAATACTGGCGTTGAAACACACAAAATAAAAAAGGATCCATTTGATTTAAATAAGACTTATTCTGGAAGCTAAATGAACGTTATATTACTGTAGTATTTTGATGATAAACTGAATCCAACTAAATCTTGCTTGGTGTTTAGAATAAATTTCTAAAAAGATAAATATTCAACATAAATAGAAAATTGTTGTGATAAACAAAGTTGGTGACAGTTTAATCTTGTATAGAAAATCCTAGTTAAAAACGTTTAGATAAAACATGGCTTTTGGAATATATACATTAAAGTTAATAGATAGTAGGCTATTATTTTAAATAGGTACAGCATTCAAGATGTGGTTTGCAATTAAAATGACTGTAAACAGTATATAAAAAGTTTATTGGTGTAAGTTAGCATATATATAAAAGTATTAAAAACAAAAAAAATATTTCTCTGCAAATAAGAAAATAATATTAAATACTTTTTTTCAAAATTTGAACGCCTTTTTATTGTCTCACTGCAGTAGAACCCAATTATCTGAATTAATTGGGACTGTACCCTATTTGTATGAAAAAATCCAATAACAGGATTTTTACAAAAATTTGGGGTATTTTGCAGAATTGTAATCGCATAACGCATCTGCGAAGATTTTGCGATTGAAAAATGCATGCTTTCACTGCGATTTCAGAGAATAATTCAGCGCAGGAAAAAATGTTGATGTCAAATACAAGACCGCGGAAGATGTTCAAGATTTTGCTGCTAATGTGGAAAACAAAACAATGACGATGTTTCCGTGACCGCGGGGGACAATGATGATGTGTACTCGACTGTGGGATGAGTTTAACATTTTGCCACAATCACGGCTTCTGCCTTATAACAATTTATTACGTACTGTAGTTTTAAGTTTTTATAATTGTTTATATAAATTACTTGGATAATTGGCAATTCAGATAGTTGGAGATTGGATAGTTGGAGTTCTACTGTATATGGAATGTTACATTAATATAATGTAACATTCTTACAAATGGAATGAATATCATGTTTTCAAAACACTAAATTCACCATCAGTCTTTTGAGTATTTATTATACCATTTCTTGAACACTTCCATCAGCCATCCCAAAGTAGATTTTTTTGGCCATTCCAACAAAAAGCCCTGTCTCCACGACTCCTATGGACAAAAGAAAATAATTTTTAATCAAACAAAACCAATAGCTGTAATAACAAAATAGAAGCATAGGCAAAATAGAAACATAAAGCATGGCGTCCCGCAAGGGTCTATTCTTGGACCTTTAATTTTTATTTGTTATGTTGAGAATATACCAAACTGTCTATGTAAAAAAGAAATATATAACACTTCACTTAACTCATACAGTATGCTAACGATTCTAATCTTATTGTATCTACTAAATTCCAGATTGATCTGGAAGTAGCGGCTCATATAGAATTATCACAAATCTAAGAATTTTTAATAAACAATTGATTAATAAATATTAAATTCACAAAAAACAAATTTTGTTTCATTCAGAACAAAGCAGAACAAAAATAAATGTAGCCCTCATATTTTTATTTAAAAGAACACAATAAAAAATAAATTGTACAAAATTGTTCGGTATCCATATTGATGAATGTCTTTAAATTCAATCAGGCAAATGCTATTGGCTTAGTCTGAAGTTTGGCTGCGGCAGAGATGTTTAACAATATCCTCGTGAAATTGAGTTGAGAGATATATACCTTGATTTTTGCTTGGATGGAACAAAATTCCACATTTCCCAGCAAATTCAGCTGAGGGACTCGTTAATGACACATTAGATAGAATTTGTTAATAACACTAGATTTGTAACTTATTAAGTTGAGCTTTACACTCACCAGGAATTGTTTTGATTGACACATCGACCTTACTCCAATTCAAGGAATCACTTGGGAAAAACCAATCCAGAATGAAATTTCCATTGTCAGTTATAACAGGGCCCTGTAACAGAGCAGAGAATAAATACAAACAAACTGAGATCTCACTATGCAGTCAATCTTACCAAACTCACATCTGATCTCGTCAAAAGGCAATACTGTACATCTGAATTACATACTAGTTACAGGTACTTTGGTCAAACATTTCCACATCATAAGAGCATTTATTATGTTCAATATGAAAAACAAATGTCTTTAAGAATTTGTGATTGATTAGAAATTTTTATAAGAATCATACTTTATATCATAACTCTTCAATGGGAACTGGACACGAACATAGTAATGAACAAAAGGTAAAATAATATAACACGATTTAACAAGACAGTTTTTGTGAGGATTAGATTGTGAAATATTCAACTTTAGTTTGACTGTGATTATCAACCATATTGGCAAAGTTATTGTTTGAAATATTAGAAACTGCGTTAATGACTTTCTATTTTTAAGTCTTTCTGCTTGAGTATTATGATAGTAAACAGCTTTTCTTTATACTTTTAGTATTAGTAATAGTAATCAAAGATTGCAGTTTTTTAAGATAAGTTATTTATTTTATTGTTTTCTTAGGTCTTGTAATAATTTTGTCTATATTTTTTATATTATTTAATAAAATTCTTAAACTTAAAATTACAACTTGGTAGTAGAATAAAAACTATTAACCGTTTGAGTGCTACGTGAATATTGTATATAGTAAGACATTTTTTGTTTGGCTTTTACAGTAGACCCCCTCTTAACCGACCCTAATGGGACCGGACCTAGGTTGGATAACTCAAAAGGTCGGTTAAAACGGGCAATCCCTAAAATCATAATACAATGAAGTGCTATTCATTTGGAATTATATAGGCTAATCATTATTTTGAAGTCATACTTGCATTATTTATAAAATAAATTACTCTTATCTCCTTTTTCGTATTGACAGAAAAGTCACAAATAAACACAAAACACGGTTAAGTCAAATAGGCCTACTTTCAGTGGAATATATTATAATACTAGGCAAGAGTCAATACAAATTTATCAATAAAAATATTTCAATAACTTTAGTACTGTAATGTATTAATTGATACAGTACAGAACCTTTTGTCGAAATTAAAGATGCAAGCAACCATTTTGTTACAAGACAGGATGTTTATAACCTCTCAAAGGAGGCTCCAGGCACAAAAAGTATCTTGACCTTGGAGTTGTAAACCCCCTTTCCCTGCCCTCCCTACAAGTTGTGTTGTTTCTGTTTGTTTACTCCAGTGATAAGATAATCAGATAAAGCACTTTATGATGTTATAAATTTGCCATACAGATAACAAATCAGATCAGATGTGATAAGATAATCAGTTAACGCACTTTATGATGTTATAAATTTGCCATACAGATAACAAATCAGATCAGATGTGCTCACGCTAAGAACGATGATGACAAACTGACAATAATTACAATAACAATAATCGCTATGCTATAATTTTTGTGATCAATACAAAATAATTTATTCTTAGTCATATCCTGTTGAGATAAGCGTATGGTTCAGTTCTCATCGCCCAGCGTGGGAGCAGAAATGCTGAGATTCCTAGAAAGCGGCGGTTAAACCGAACTGCTCTCAAAGCAAGGTCGGTTAAAACAAACTGTATTATTTTACGATCGAAGGCAGATAATCCGATTATCGGTTAATACGAGGTCGGTTAAGAGGGAGTCTACTGTAATTCCATTACCTGTTGTTAATTGTAACTGTTTTGTTTTCACTATTTTATTAATCAGGCTAAATAGGAATAATAAGAAAATAACAAATATACAAAGAAAAGTCTTGGTATTTGCAGTAAACAGTAAATAAAATTGTGTTTTCGTTGTAAATTTCCAAGTTTTCTCATAAATTGTTCTGATAGCATTATTTTAAACCAAAATTTCATAAAATCAAAAGGCATCTAGTTTACAATGTAACATTGAATTGAATTTAAACTTGATTTAGTTTGATAAGGTTATTATAAATATAGCTTTTTTTTAGGAAAAAAACCTGTTTGTCAGTAAAGCCTCATTTACACCATTTATGATCACTGTTGTGGTTCAGCTGAAAAATATCATTTAAATAGTCCATGACTAACTAGTGATGCTACGTAGTAACACATTGAACAACTAGGTTTTAGAGCCGTCGGGTGCGCCATCTGTTAGCAATTGACGTCAGCTTAAATACCAAATTTTACTTCATATTCTCCAAGCACAGATAGCCGAGAAGAGTAGGGTGTGTGTCACTTGGCCAGTGGCATTCGTTTGATCGGGTTCGATTCCCGTCCTGTGTGGCAAATAATTGGTGACCTGTGTGTTTGTAGCAATATACTACAACCAATGGGGCATAGTGAGGTGTTCATAATCCTTGGTTTAGACATACACCTCGAATCATCGGATTGAGCGAATCTTTTAGCTAAGTGGTAGTTAGTGTATCCTATAAACATGCAGGTCACCAATGGCCGTTATGCTACATTTTGTTAAAATAACCTTTCTCTCTATATCCCTTAGAGATTTTAGTTAACAACGATATATCGTTGCATAGCACTCAAAGGGTTAAATAACATATTTAAAATTTGCTGTAGTTAAAACTACTAGTGTGCCTTCAAGTATTTATTTTTAAAAAACAGTGTTGATTAAATAGGAATATTTATTAGAGTTATACTTTATATAATACTAGCTGGCCCGACAGACGTCGTCCTGTCCTAATGTGGTTTTATGTCAAATGCTCGTTCATTTTCAAGATGAGCTCGTTCGCATGGCTCTAACACGTCCTGGTTGCAGTTCGCTCGCTACACTCACTCACCTTTTGGTTGCAAATTAGCTGTTGTCATAAATTTAAAAAAATAATAGTGCTGCACCCTGTTGGTAAACGTATTAACTTTTTAATGCTATTGAACATCACAGAATCAAATTGTTTAGTTCAACCAGCTGTTACGATTCTTTAATTTCATTTAAATATGAGTACTCATAAGGTTAGCAATTAGCATAGGAAACTCCAGAGCCACTGGGGCGGAGCCCTTTTGACCAATCTGCACCATACTTCATACAAACCATCCTTGAATAATGCTTAATAATGCCTGAAAGTTTCATTACAATCTGTTGAGCGGTTTCGGAGTCCGTAAAGGACAACAAACAAACAAACAAACAAACAAACATACATTGGATTTTATATACAGGGTGTTCATAAAAAAACGTTTCAGGACTTTGGGAAATGAATCCTCATACTAAGAGGAAGAAAAAAGTTTATGTGAAGGTATGTCCGAAAATGCATATATACCCAGTTATCCACCATTTTGTTTTTTATACAAAGATATTTTTATCTATGAAGTTTTTTATTTGATGATTATGAAATTTGGTAACCATGTTAACACACACAAGACCTATAATTGAAAAAATAATCAAGTTGTTCCAATTGTAAATTTCAAAATGGCGGCCGTTTGAATTTTTCTAACTTAAATAACTCAAAAACGGCTGATTCTATGAAAAAATGTCAAGAATACTTTTTTTTGCATTTTTAATTCCCTATCAAACGATAAGAAGATCAAAAATATCAGATAAATGAAATTTAACGTTTTTTGTGTAAAAATAAGGCAAAATTAAGGGTTCCCCGACTAATTTTGCCTTATTTTTACACAAAAAAACTTTATATTTAAGTTATTTTTTGTCTGATCTTGGTATTATTTGATAGGGAATTAAAAACGCTAAAAAAAGTATTCCTGACATCTTTTCATAGAATTAGCCGTTTTTGAGTTATTTAAGTTAGAAAAATTCAAACGGCCGCCATTTTGAAATTTACAATTGGAACAACTTTATTATTTTTTCTATTATAGGTCTTGTGTATGTTAACATGGTTACCAAATTTCATTATCATCAAATGAAAAACTTCATAGATAAAAATATTTTTGTATAAAAAACAAAATGGCGGATAGCTGGGTAAATATGCATTTTCGGACATACCTTCACATAAACTTTTTTCTTCCTTTTAGTATGAGGATTCATTTCCTAATGTCCTGAAACGTTTTTTATGGACACCCTGTATATAGATTTAAGATAAAAGAAGAATATATAAGGTAAAATACAACCCATGTTTCTAAAAGAACAGACAGTACCTTATGAATACATATACATGGGTCTTAGAAATGTATAATAATTAGTGATGTGTCAATACCAATATTTATCGATTCTCGATACGATACCTGAAAAATCAATTCTCGATAACAATACCAATATACCATTCTTTTATTGTTTTACCAAATTTTCTGAAAGGATTAGTTTTAATCCACCAACCCCTGTCTTTATGTCCTTCCATTAAGTATTTTTGAGTTAATAGGGTGTTTTTCAAGTAAAGAAAAATGTATGCACAGCAATGATTTAGCAGATCCAACTAGCCAATTTAAGTTTAACCCTTTCTAAACACATTAAAAAAAACGACCATTTTAAAGATAGGTATGCTAAATGAAGATCTAACAACAAAAATGAAAAACAAAATGAATTATACTGGTGTGCTAGGCTGACACTTTTCGTTAAGCCAAACTCGAGGTAAAATCGTGATCATCGCCAGCGGTCGTGGAGATGTCATCTTCGTCTTCTGGGATCACTGCAAAATCTCAAATATCTTCCTCAATTATAGAAACATCATCATCCTCTTTCGTGGTCACTAAAACGTCATCGTCGTCTCCCACGATCGCGGCAAAATCACAAAATTCTTCTGCGGCCGTGTAGACGTAAGTAATTATTGACTCCCGCGGTCACGGAAACATCTCCAGCGGCCGAGAAGACGTCATCATCGTCTCTGGCGGTCTCAGAAATGTCTTCGTAGTCTTGCGCATTCTTGGCAATAGCGGTCATTTTCCGGTCGCGTTGGTGTGAAGGATATTGGTATCGGAATTGACTTTAGACGATAGATTCTCGATACCGATACCAACGGCCAAGTATTGGTGGTATTGAGAATCGACACATCCCTAATAATAACAAACAAAAAAGAAACAGTACATCTGTATATCTGTCTATATAATTTTTATAGTTTTTAAATTTAATCAGAGCTGTCTCAAGTTAATTAATTGTTATTAACACGATCCCTTCTGCAATAGTACGAAATTTTTCATTCACATGGACCAGCGACGCACATATGCGACGGCCGGTTTCCACTCATAGACTGCCGTCGCATATTTGCGTCGGGGTCCTAATGTTATTAAAATGCTTATATCTTTGTAACGGTCTATTTGAAGGCACTGAATTCCCTGCAGTGGTCTACAGAGATGTCTGACGCACAACTGCGTCGCTTGGTCTGTGGATATGATGATTGGTGACGTCATAATGATAGTTGAAAAAACTGGTCTTTACTTTTCTGCATCACTGTATGTATGTATGCTGCATTATCCTATGTAGCTTTTATATTTGTTCAATTATAAACTGTTATTGAATAATCTGTTTTGTTTACTTACTTTCACCTCAAAACACAAAAAAATGAACTGTCGCATATACGTTCGCATAAACCTGTTTTACAGGTTTTCGCCCGTTGTCTGTGTGTACCGTTACACCAAGTAACAGCCGGTCTATGCGTAAGATTCAAATGTATACCTCGGTCTGTGGCAATGACCATGGCGTCGCATATATGCGACGCTCAGTAGCGAACGTGTTAATTAGTCACTTTAAGCAATTTTGTAATTTTAGATGAATTCCTATAGAGAACATTTTTTAGTACAAATTAGTATTTAGTTTTGTGCCAGACAACATTCTTAATTTATTTATCTTTATTCTTAACCCTTCTATCTTAATATCTTCCCAAGCGCTGCAGGGTGAAGCCCTAACTCACTACACGATCAATAATTTGGTAGGGGTTAAAAATTTATTTTGAAATTATGTTTTTCCATTTCTATAGCATGGTTGAAGTAAAGTTGATTATAGACACCTTTTTAACACGTTCACTGCTAATGACGCACTTGTGCGTCATAAGTATATTAGCAGATATATAATACATGATGTATATAATTACATAATATATTTTAATCCACAATTTATAGTATAAAATTTATTTAATTAAAGATATATTGTCACTCAATTAACATGATCATGTTAATGTTTATGTTTTTTAGCCATTTATAAAAGTATTACATATCATTAGCAGTGAATGTGTTAAATCAAAATAATATTTAGAAGTTTCATTACCATAATTGAAGTGACGTATATACGTACAACGCTCGCTAAAGAATGCATTGATCCGTATGTGTATGTCTAAGGCTTGTAAATTTTGTTTAGGAAAAACATTTACAAACTGTTAAAAAGGCAACAATATTTAGGCGGTTTAAGGGAAAGACATCTATCCTCTCCACTTGAACTTTAAAATAACAGCTCAACAGCTGATCAAGCAACATGCATTAACTTAAATACAAAAAATTGGTGGGAGAACTTCCCTTTTGAACCCCCTAAATATTGTGTGTATAATCATAATAGCCTACAATAAAAAATATTGATTCTGATCATTCAATGTAAACGCCATCTTTAATACAACACAACACATTCTAATGCACTGAACATATTCCACTAATCTTATCTTACTAGATTTACTTCACTAGTCTGCGCAAAACAATAATATGAGGATGACTCAGCCAGTCGGTTTTGTAAACAACAGATGTTAGGAGATGCCAGCCCACCAATCAGAAATTTACAACAAAAATAAAAAAGTTATTAGACCAATAATATTGATTAATGGCCTAAGGTAACAGTTAACTGTTTAACTGTTGACGGCCAAGAAAGAACCATTAAAATAACTAAATTACGTTAACATTTTCTGACGAATATATGCGTTGTACGCTTGTGACCTTCAGGTTGAGCTGTAAGGTTGAATCTATTAGATTCAAGATTCAAGATTCAAGATCTTTATTTGTCATTAAGCAATACAAGTATTACAATAGACATCGTCAAAGTTTTTTTTTTTTTTTTTTTTTTTTTTTTTTTTTAATAATACATACAGTTAATTTCCTGTTTAGTGGTTTAATATTTACCACCAACCCTCACAACTGAATAGCGTCGTTGACGTATATATACAGCCAACGCTTGGGAAGGATTAATATTACTATGTATAGACAAATTACTACTTACAGCTTTCATTTTTGCCATACGAAGTTTAGCTTCACCACCGAACATTTTCTGGATCTTGAGTTGTATGGGGATATAAGCCATGGGTATAACTTCAATAGGAATACCCTTTTTATAATTCTCTCCTAGGTTTACAGATTTTTTCCTGAAAAAAAAATCATAAACAATATTAGGGTATGTTTACATTTAAGTGTTTGCTCATTTTATCCAAGGGTGATCGGTTCTAGATCTATATCCATACATTACATCATGATAGGTCATTGCAATAACACTTAGCAAGTCAGTTGTGATTAGCGGCATTTTAACCTGAGATCTTGTGGGCCGAAAGCCCCAGGCTTTACCACTATACCAGCTTCCCTCTCCATTAGAAACTAGATAACAATGTGTATAAGTTTTCTGCACATCCAGGTTTTATTTGAATTTGTTTTTTTTTTTACTGGCTTGACGAGATTTCCAGGTTGTTGTTTTTTAATTTACCAATTTCAGTGTATTGTTTTGAATAATTTTAAATGGATTATCAAAATATGATAAAACCCCTTATTTTTACATTATCTAATAGCATATGTGGATAGGGATACATGCTTAAACAAGTACACTAGATATACTTATCAAGTAAATTAAGTAAAAATAAACTGCATTAAGAATCATGTGGGAGAATAAGAAAGAAATCTAAAGCTACGTGAAAACAATCAAGACATATGCTACAGGTTCATGTATCAAACAATGCATTTTAAAAGAGTAAAAATGATTTTTGTATAAACACAACAGTTTTAGGCTTTTATGGGAAATAAATTAAACTTACGTATAATCAGCAATGATGTACAGCTCCTTGGCGCAAGACGCAATGATCTTCTCTTGAGTCAAACAGCCACCACCTCCTTTGATCAACACCTTGTCCTTGTCTACTTCATCTGCTCCATCAATGGCCAGGTCCAGCTACGAGACAAACCAGCCACTAGGTCCAGTGATATCACTAGGCCTACTACAGTTAAAAACTGATAGATAAGTTAAAGAACTAATTACTTCCATGCTTCCTATCATTGCAGGGCGCTTGGTATTGATTTGATTCAAATTATTATTTTTCATAACTTGTTGAAGGTACCAAAATTTGGAATGTCAAAAAAAAGCCAAAAGGCTTTAGAATCTTTTGGAGAGTGTAGTTATTTAATGTTAATTAAGTGACAACAAAATAAAACTAATTACCGGTAACACAAAATAATTAAAAATATGTTATAATGATGATCAACCCTACAAAAATATCTTTTTATTTTGGAACATTTATTTTGACATATTTGGCCTTGATAGTGATATCAAAAGAAATTAAATCTCAGCATTGCAAAATGTTGGAGTTCAATCATCATCATATCAAACAAAATTATTCAGATTATCGGCCAAGATTTAGATTATCTTAACACATTGAATTAACATCACTGAACGTAATGGTTTCATCAATTGATAAGTGTTAGATAACTACATGCTTTAAAACAGCATTGTTTAAATACTTTTTTCAACTAATTAGTGAACACAAGATAAAAAACAACTTGATTGTTTCGGTATTTTCTACAGAGAGTGTAAATATATTTAGAAAAAAGAGTACTTTGGTATTATCCGGAGGCCCCTTATTTTAGAGGAATTTTTCACTGGAGACCAAAAATAACTACATAGTTGGAAAGAACAAACTTTAATTGAACTACTGTCTTCAAATTTTACATGATTACGATTAGCGGCATTTGAGCTCTGCCTCCCAGAAAGCAGCAATGTCGGCAAGGATTGAGTTGAATGCGTCGTCGCCGACGCTGGCTACAGCGGTTATGTTAGGTTGGGTTATCATAAATATTTTTGTAGGACCTTCCTCATTTCGTTATGAATCAAACGATACCAGTCATTACACTGACCCAGATACAGGGGGTGGCAGGAGATGCGCGAGCTCCGGTCAAAGACGTGACCTTGGTCTACTTAGAAGGGATTTGGGATATTGTCAGTATTCAATAGTTTCTACAATGACAATAAATTGTTTAAACTCAAACGATACTGAAATCATTGCTAATGGCAAATCCTCATTCATTTAGTTACGATCAAATGAATTATGCTAAAAACACCTACTTACCTGTGGATGATTTTCTAGATCGCTGAGTATCAATTTATGTTCAATGATTAACTGTCGGGCTTGGAAAGATGTTGGTACACAAACAACATGAAGATTTTCCTTATGAACTCTTTGAGCTAAAACATATTAAAAACTACATAATTAGTTAATACCACGGGCTGCACGGACCGGGATAAAGGTTTACGGTTGCTGGACTAGGACGGACTGACGTAGTGGATAGATACACGGGTATAGCGTGGTCGCGGCAGCCAATGAGAATTTATTAAAAATCACCTGATATGACGTCACAGACGTGGCGTGATATGGTGTGATGTACACACACACTAACAAACATTTACATTTGATACAAATCTGGTTTCCAACAAGAAACGCTGTTTTGCAAATATATTCAATACATTTAAAATCATTAAATATACTAAAGTTATCTTCTATAGTACAGTCCCAAAGAGCAGGATTCTTCTCCACTACACAAATAAACATTTTCTGTTAACTTTTTTGGTCAACGACCTTTGACATTTCTTTCAGTCTTTCTTCCTTCTTCACGATATTATGTTTTCCACATTAGAAGGAAATAGAAACATTCCTTACGGTATAGAAATTTATGGAGGAACAAGTAAATTCAATTTAAACAAAATTTTACATTTACAAAAAGAAGCCATTAGGTATCCTTAATCTCGATATAAACGAATCCTGTAAAAATCATTTTAAAGAATTAGAGTTCTTTACCGTTTTTAGTCTCTATATTTATAAGACGATAATGTATGTTAAAAATCATGAATCAGAACTTCAAAGACAGAAAGACGTACATAATTATAACACTAGAAACAAACTAAACTTCATAACTAAAAAACATAAAAAAGAAAAATTTAAGGAAAGTCCTAATTATATTGGAATCAAATTCATGCATTCCCTACCCAGCAGTATTAGAAACGAAAGTAGCGTAAATAAATTCAAAAATAAACTTAAGGGGTTTTTAATTTATAGCGAATTTTATAGTTTAGAAAGTTTTGAACACTGTAAGAAAAAAACTGTATGACTAAGCAAGTAGCGAAGTAGGTGAAATCATGTGAAGTAGTTTTAGGTTGATGACACATTCATGTACACTTGTTGTATGTATTGAATAAAGATTTATTGGTTGATTGATTGATTAATAAACAACATTAGAATTAAATAGCCCACACTTTATATAAGTAAAAACCTAATCTCACAACATTCGGCACACTGTTTTTTTTAGTCAAGCACTTGCTTCCAATGGTGCACGCGCATCGATCTGTGTGACTAGCCATGTCGCCAGCCACCGTAGTGTGGCAAGCTGCCATATAACCAAATGTTAAAAAGTGCACTTCCACAGCTTGGAGCAGCCACGGCTCGGGTGGCCAACGACTGTATAGTTGCAAACAGCCAATGTGCCCATGGCTGTTTTAGCCACCCCAGTAATAGGTTATTAAAATGTTATTACTTGAATTCTATTACATTTTAATTAGTCTAAATGTCGAAAAAGGAATATGTTTAGTAAAATAATATAACACGATGATAAACAATACCCCCGCCGCAGCAAACCTGCCGTCTAAGCGAATTTCCATTTGGCTGAATTGATTTTCAATTGATCTATTTAAATAACATTAGGTTTAACGAGTACTTAGGTTTGCTGCTACAAGGAAACTAATAAAGTGTGTGTTTTAAGTAAAATAATTATTGCTTAGTAGAAAATGAATATATTTGCCAAGTTTGATCAAAAGATATCCATAAACAAGCAAACTACAACATTTTACAATATTCTCCATAAAAATAACATGGGAATTTTAAATTTACAATTTTTTCAGTTTTCTCCGTAACCAATAACCGTACAAAAACACTTTGATATACTGAATTGTTTGTTTTTTTAAGCTCTTTAAGAAGGTTTAGAGAAAAATTTGGAAATTTTGTGTTTTGAGGGTCAAAAGTGAGAAAAACCAATTTTTACTCCATAAAACCCCCCATAAAACCCTGTTCCCATGGTCCGATGATGCTGGATCGCGAACTCATTCAAGTTTATCCCGCCTTACACCTTCAAACCAAATTTCATCAAAATCGGATAAAAATTACTCAAGTTATCGTGTTCACGGACACATATATATATAAATCTATATATATATATATATATATGTATATATATATATACATATATAAAAATTTGAACGAATGGTGTTTTTGGCCTCTGGAGACATCAAAATGAAAAAGTAAATCGGTCCCGGGCCTACGTCTTACCATGAGACCTACGGTAATAGCTACTTCCCTATAGGGAAATTCGCTAAAAGCAAATGTAAATACAAAAGCATTAACCAGGCCTATTTTATTCGGCCCACAACGCAAGTACAATGTTGCAGTACTGTCAAAAGAGCAGTTTTTGCTGCAGTATAATGAAAATCTTCACCCAACCCCCAAAAAATTTGTTTTACAAAAATCTCAACAAATAAATATTAAATTTTCTAGAAACTAAAATCCATATAATAAAGCAGAGGAATTTATTTTTCCATAGTATTTTTATTTTTTGTTATGATTTGAGCAGTAAGTTAGTTTACTGTTTTATTAATTGTTGGTTGTTATCTTATAGCCAAAACATTTCTTTTTCTAATTCAAATTAATATGGTTATACAGGGTGACAATTAACCCATTGGGGAAGAACTTAATGCGCTGCCTGCAGCACCCTCTGTTGGCAATTAATTTTATGGAATTTGTACCAATCACAAGACAAGGCTTGTGCGACCTTTGCCACATCACCCGTTGACGACACTAATTAAAATACTAAACAATATTTTTAAATCAGCTGGTATTATTTGATTTGGCAACACTGCCACTATCCTCATTGGCTCCTTCAAAGTCACATGGTAAATAGGCTCCTCCCTCAACTGCAAACTTTCGTGACCCCGACTATAGGTAATAAATTAATAATTCTTTCGTCATCTTGTTCACAGTAAAATTATCTACAAAAAGTGATAATTAGATAGTCAAAGTGTAAAAAAAAATTATAAAGATTATAAAAATAAAAATTGTAAAAACAATTCTTTAAAAATAAACATGATTTACAATTTCCAAGATTAATCCAGACACCAAATGGAAATGACACTACTATTATGAAGTTCAATTGATTTCCTACATAGAAAAATCCCAAGTTGTGTGCTTTTAAATAAGTAATAACACAGAAAAAAAATGTTTTTTTACCTTACCGCAGCATATTTTTGGTAATATCTGGTTTCCATGGCAACACAGGCTAATTGTTTTTTATTCAAAAAATAAATTAGTAAATATACAAACCAAAGAAGCAAGATATTTATAAACATAATAAAATTAAGAAGAAACAAAAAGGCGGGGAAACAATAATATTAAAATAACTAATGGCGCTGCATAGTGGTGACATGAGCGACACTCGTAAGTTGGCCACCAGGCCTGCATCGGTGGACGAGTAACGCTCGTAAGTCGGCACCAATGGGTTAAGTCTGGAACCTCTTATTTAATTTTTAAACCACAATAGAACAAATTCCAAAGATCACACGTGCTTACTGGTGATAGTAACGCACACATCTGCCCAATTAAGCTAGGGTTTCCAAGATCACGCCGGTTGGACAGCGTGAGTGGACAAGCGTGATTACATAATCAAGTATAAATTGAAGCCATGTTTTATATGGGTGCGGTTGCCAAGCACGAGCGATCATGCCGGACATGAGTTTTCCCGCCATCTGTCCGGCGTGAGTCCTGAGCGTGGCACGCTGAAAATGACCCCAGTCTTTTCTGGCGTGCACGCCGAGCGGACAAGTGTAGGACTCTGTGAGGATTCTTGTAAAAATCACGCTTCTAGTTAAATTTCGGTGTGATTGTACTATAATTAAAATTTATTTAATAAAACTGTAACTATCATCCTTCATTGATTTTATTCTTTTCGGTGGTATTGTAATAGAATCAAATTGCTTTGAACAAATGGTTTGTTTTTTATTTCAACCAAAACTATTTTCATGGCTCTCTTTGTTACTAGAACCAGATGGTTGAGCTATGTTTGGTAGTTATTTTACTTATTTTAAGGACAATAAAGTTGTTTTAATAACTCCGATGTTGATTCAAACAGTACGGTATTGACGATATAGTATACATTTAGTTTGTTTGTAAATGTCTCATTTATATGCAATCTTTTGTCATTGTTGACAACTAGCTCATTTCTCAAGAGAAATAACCGCGAATGTCCGCTTTCTTGCAAACCACTCTCACACCGAGCTTCATCGGACATCCGCCGGACAAAGATTAGCACCAACGGACATCACGTCGGACAGATCACGCTGGCGTGATCTTGGAAACCCTAGCTTTACCGACCGGATAACTCCTTTGGGGGACGGTCTACAAGGAGTCAGACAAAACTCTTAAAAAGCAGCATAGGTCGAGTTTGGTTTCAAATTCAAGGTCTCTGTTAGTAAAATACAATGCCACAAACCCGAACTTAAACGGACAATGGAGTCAAAAATGACAGCTGTTTAACTATTCCTTGAATATGCAATGCTTATTATACTGTGAGGCGCCCACTAGAAGTCGGATGAAAATCATAAACGTAAGCATAGGTCGATATGCACATCACATTAAAGTTCTTTATTAGTAGAATACAATGCCGCAAATTCGAGCTCAAAATATCAGCTGGATAAAAAATGACAGCCGTTCAAAGATACAAAATGACAGGTTGAAGAAATATTTGAACGGCTGCCATTTTTGACGTGGTTGTCGGATTTGTGGCATTGTATTTTACTAACCTTTAATTTGATACCTACCAAACTTGACCTAAGCTGCTATTTAAGAATTTTGTCTGATTCCTTGTGGACCGTCCCCCAAAGAGGTTATCCGATCAGTAATTGTGCAGATGTGTGCGTTACTATCACCTGTAAGCACGTGTGGTATTTTTTCTATTGTAGTTTAAAAATTTAAAAGAGGTTCCAGACTTAATTGTCACCCTGTAGTTTTTTCATATGTAAAAATAGTTAACATTATATTCAATTGCAATGTCCAATTGGCCACTCACTAAACAAGACTGATCAAATTTGGGAATAGAACAATAAAACCCCAGCAGACGATGCACCGCAATTTTTATTATAGTTTTCGCAAGCGCCCCCGATACACCACGACTAGAATGCAGCGAGTGCCACGGCGAATTACAATCCATCTACAAATATTAAAATAATTTAAGTTACAAAAAGTTCCACCCCCCAGAGCCTTCCACCCTGGAGCGACTACTCCACTCGCTCCAAGGTCGCTATGCCACTGATCTACCACCTTCATGGGTCAGGTATTAAAAGATTAGTCTCCTTTTAAAAGATGGGAGGCTGTTCACTACGGTGGTTCTGTTCTGTACGGTGGTTTTAGGAGAGACTTACATTCTCCCAAAGGAAGATAGATCTAATTATGAATGGGTCTAATCAAAGAGTTGGTAGTACCATGTAGTACCGTATCTACAGTCGGGGCCATGAAATCAGATGGGTGAGTACCTATAAATGCGCTGTTGCCACATATGGGACCCGCAATACGAGGGAATCACTTACCCCGGCGCACAAGCTGGCAACACTGAGCGTCCAGCATTGCCTAGTCCATGCGTAGAGCCCCTACGCCCGGGAATAATACCGTTTAACAAATATAAACTTATCACACATCTCCATTACATTATACTCTTTAGACACCATGTGTTTCAGTCTTGCAATCAACTGATAGTTAAAACACTGCTTTAAATGGGAATTTTAAGCGCAAGATAACAAAGTTAACAAGGGTCTACAAAACCTACAAGAAAATGAATGTTAAAATTGTGAAACTATACAAAAGTATTGGTAAATAACCCCCCTATATATCATACAAATTTGAAGCTTGTAAGTGTAATAGATTTTTTGTAATCATTTTACAAGTTTGAGATTTACTCTAACATTGTGAAGAAATATCAATATTTTCCACTTTTTCCGTTGCATAAATTATATAGGTCTACCCCCGCCGCAGCAAACCTGCATACCAAGCTAATTTCCATTTACCCGGCTTGATTTCTACTAAAAAATAATCCCTAAAAATTGTCAAATGTATTTCTTATTTTTAAATAACATTAATTTTAGTGAGTACTTAGGTTTGCTGCTACAACGGGGAAGATATTTGGGTGTGTTTTTTTGTTGAAATGTTGATGGCTTAGTATGAAATAAACAAAATTACCAAATTTGATTAAAATATATCAACAAACAAGCAAACTACAACAGTTTATTTATTCTCCAAAAGAACAACATGGGAATTTTAAATTTACAATTTTTTAGATAATTATCTCCATAATCGTTGGGCATACAACAATGCTTCAATATACCAAATTTTTTTGTTTTCTGCTCTACAAAATAGTTTGGAGAGAAATTATGAATTTTTGTGTTTTTACTTAGGGACAAAATGGGAAAAATCAATTTTTACCCCATAAAACCCCCCATAAACCTCCGTTCCCATAGTCTGATCGTTCGCTGTAGTTCGCGAACTCGTTCGAATAAACGTAGGTTTACACGTTTGTACCAAATTTCATCAAAATCGGATCATTTTTGCTCGAGTTATCGCGCTAACGGACACATAATATATATATATATATATATGAATGTGGACGGATGGTGTTTTTGGCCTCTGGAAACCTCAAAACGAAGCAAAAATGAACTATTAATCATTTTAATAAAATAAATTATTCTTACAAAGTTGTTAAATGAGATCAGTGTCACCTTCAAGCCATTCATGGCGGGCATCTGCCGGTGCTGATATGGGAACGTCGCAAAATAACTCACTCGCCTGATTTCATGTCCCTGACTATAGTTTATATATTCTTTTAATAGTGACTTTTTGAGTCAAGTGAAGCATATAGCACATAAGGCACATTGAAAAAGTGAAAGGTAAAAATTTGTTGAGCTCTTACCTAACCGCTTCACTGCATACACTATGGTGGAGCCGCTTCCAATACCAATGATAGAATTATTCTGAAAATAAAAGTAAAAATGATAGGCTAATAATTGAAATGTTAAGATACATAATTTTTAAATAAATACAAAACAAATTACTAGATAGTCCAGGCCTAGTATCTTTCAAATTTTCTCATAAATGTAGGTAAGAGAAAAAATATATAGGCTGTATTTGAGATTATAATCCTTTTTGGAATAGTAGTTTTCATCACTAGGAGCGAAAGTGGCTCTTTTTGGTACGCAATCGTGTTTTACAAGTGGAGCTTGGAAATACGATTAAGTACCGAAAGGACACTTTTGCTCTGTGTGATGAACAACTATTTTCATCAAACACTGTGGAAATAGCCTTCCAATAAAGTCGTCCTCGATGTTTACATTTCTGTTGTTTACAAACATAGGCCTAGCATTAAAAAATATCTTGTGATTAGCAGCGTTTTCATAAAACACTGAAAATATTTTGATGTTAGCAAACTGAAAAATTTACCATATGTTTTTTCTGTTCCCTATTTTGAAGTTACCAGAAAATTGTGATTTTGTTGACGATTTAGAGAACTCAAAACGGCTGCTTTCCGGACAGTATGATGAAAAATATGATATATATACTATGATAAAGGTTATATGAGGTAATGTCCTTGCTTAGACAAATCAATTGCACTCTTATAACAATTTATATTAGCTCATAAATGATGCAGACCTCTAAAAATGTATAGGGTGTTTATTGTTTAAGGCATCCATATATAAATCCAAAAGTATCTCCATGAACTTTTGATAAAACAACAAGTCACACCCCCATAAGCCATATGCTTAAAATGTTCGTCATGACAAGAAACCTTGTCCAAAACTACAGTATCCATTATTTTTTTATTTAATTGCCCTTTAAGGCCGTAATTCCTTTCTAAAGGGAACTTTCCATATAGGCCTACCTACCTAATGTTAAAAATATCCCAGCTGTACCGCTGTACCTAACTTACTTATTTGTTTGTTATTCTTTCAATTTATTAGCCTACCTTATTAAAATTAGGTGCGTGATTATTTGTTTGTATTAGAGTCATTCTCAAATTAAGCGGAAATTTCAACATCTATAATTTAAAAAAATCTTTTACTTAATTTAAACAATATTTTTATTTAAACATGATGTTTATAACATAGTTAATCTGTAAAAAACATAAAGATAGGTCAAGAAAATTAATATGGCCAAATATGTGTAAATTTACTTTTTCGTCAAACATGGAGGTGACACCTCTCGACATGGAGGTGACAATTCTGTGAACTTTTAAGTTTGTCTAATAATGAATATTTTCATTTATAATATTTGTTGATAGGAAAATACTAAATCAATAGAATGCTAATCCATTAGCTTCAATGTATTGTTCTTTAACTTAAATAAACAAAAGTTTTAATCAAATTATGAAAATATAAATTACTTAAACAAATTGTGGCTACTCAGATGTTATGATTAATTACTCAAGTTTCATCTGGCTTAAAAAATATGTTATTGTGTATTTTCATTTCTGAAAGAGAACACTTGTAAGCCTAAACTGGCTGACTTTCGAAAATTAATTAGGTATTAATATTACTTTCTTCTTTAAAATGTCACCGAAGCATAATATGCAAGTAATTCTGATATCGATAAAGTTTGGCCGAGAAGGGTTAGATAAAATAAATTCAACAGTAGAATAATTCCAGGAACTAGGTTTATTATTGACATAGTTAGACAGATGACTTTATTTTATAAGTAAATATATTTATGTGGTTTTCAGCATCTTATTAAATATTTCATCATATTTTTTTATGTTTTCAAATCCGTAGTGTCGATTTGACACTGGGTGTGGAGGTTTGTTGATCCTGCACATTATGTGGGCTGGATTCAGCATTTGAATGTCAGGTGGTGAGGGCCAGAAGAACTTTTGCCCTGATCTGGCCATAAATGAAACTGTGATTTTTTTCTCCTTTGTTCTCTACGATTCCTAAAAATAAACACAACTTGTTAGGCTATGAGCATAGTCAACGGACAATAGTATGTAGGCCTACCCTCGTCTTTCGGCCCCTTTTTATATATATTTTAGTAGCAATCACCAAAAAAAAACAAAGCTAGAGAAACTGAACAAATTGTTAAATAAAAACAAATTTAACCTAAAAATTCTGTACTTTGGTAATTTATAACATTTTACAAAAGTTGTCAAAAACTTACCTGGGTACCACTGGGTGTCGTACACAACACCAACCCATGAACCCACATCCAACTCGTCATTCTCATCACTGTCTGAGGAATAAATGTCAGAATAGCGCACTCTGGTAAGCCTATGCGCTGTTTGATCTTCTTGATGTACTCCTGGATTGATTTTCATTACTCTTGAATTCTTACCTGTTGCACTTAGTTAAGGTAAATTTTAATTACTTCCTAAGATGTGTAGCCTACTAAACAAGATAAGATCACCCATAAGAGTGCTTTGCTTTTGCCTTTTCACTTTATTCTTTGTGATGCAATCTTTTATTCCTGGTTCAAGGCGACTAACATCATCTTGCTGAAAAAACTTTAATGCATCACCTTTCACTTTGATTTTGTTCTTTGTCTTATAAGTGATGGTTTGAGTTATCGTGTCAATTAGTTTGCTGTCATGGTTTATTTTTTTTAGATGTTTTTTATAAGACTGGAGTGGTAGCTTGTGCATTGATCGATATTTTTTTACAACTTTATACAGCCAATACAAAAGCAAATGCTTTTTTAGCTTTTCTTGAATGTTCATTTTTTTGTAGTTTTCCTCGATTTGAGTTGTTAAAGCAACACCAAATTCAAGTGCCTTCTTTACACGAGGAGACACGTGCTCACCACGCAAAATATTTTTTACTTTTTGCTGAGGACTATTTGTGTTTTTTCTGAGTTTCTTAAGTCGCATAAATCTTTTCTTATACTTTTCTTTACTTCTCCTCATTTTGTGCGTTTCGGTCTTAGATTTATCCAATTCCTTCTTAAGCCGTTTTATTTCCCTATAGGCTTTCGATTTGTTCCGTTTTGCTACTTTTTTCCCAGACATTTCTCTGCTGCTTCCAGCTCTACCCATACAAGCCTCTCTAGGAGCTGGTTCATCCTCCTGCAGCTCTACGTCACTCATTGGAGGAGAAATTACCAAGTTCCTCTGCAGCTTTTCTTTTTTGTCTAGATTTTCTTGTTTTTTCTACCCATCTTTTACGCTGGGCTCTTTTTTCTCTATCGGTGAGGTCCACAATAGGTTTTAATTTTACCCATTTGTTTTCTCTTGTTATACCTTTCCCGCTCTTTTCTTTTAAACTCTTCATAAAGTACTGGATCATTCTTAATCCTATCTCTTCTATTTTGTTCGCGTGCTTTTCTTTTAGCTCTTGCATCTTCAAGGTTCGTCTTCTTTCTTACCATTTTAACAAACTGCAAAATAAAATTAAAGATAAGAAGATAGTTATTATCAACTATCCCTTATCCTCTGTGCCGTGAACAGATCTTTTATTCTTCATAACCAACATTAAAGGTAGCGGTTAGGCTAGACAATGGTTATTCTTAAGCACTCCTAAAGCTTAGGCCTATTCAACAAAAAATACCAAAAATATTTTTTTTAAGTTGACTAAATTTAAGAAAGCCTACTAAAAATTGTTTTACTAAGTTGCAAAATACTTTGAAAACTACCTAATTATCACCTTTTTAATATTGATGAGAAGATAAAGCTAATTTTGTCACCTCCATGTATTCCATGTCACCTCCATGTTATACATAAAACATGGAGGTGACAGGCATGGAGGTGACAAAAGACATAACTTTACACTATGGAAGCTAACCTAAAAGTTTGGCATGCTTGATGGGTTTGGTAAGGGCATTTGTACACCAAAAACAAACAAAACAGTGCAAAATATTCTTCACATACTTAAAATTGTGATGTTTACAGATGGCATGGAGTTGACATGTCTAAAAAGAACTTTAAGCTTAGTGATAAATAAGATAATAATAAGGTACTTACAGAGCATCATAGACAACCCAACTGTCAAAATGGCTGTCTAGCCTCCTTTCTCATCTAACAAGAAGCTAGTGCTGCACTCTGGTGGATTTATAACGAACTTTTTCCAACTTGCCATGGAGGTGACAGAAACAGTGGGGACCAAACTTAATATTTTATTTCTCGCTTATTTTTTTTCTTGTAAATATTTTGTTTTATTATGAGTTTTATGAATGCTATCTTACTGTTAGTTTGTAAAATAAATGCAATTATATACAATAGTCTATGTGTTAAAGATGTCTAATAGTTTAAAAACTTGGAGAGGGACAGCCATGGAGGTGACATTATTGGGTGAAACTATTTTTTTAAATCACAAATTTTAATCAAATCTAACTTAAAAAATAATTATTTGTTAACAACATAATTTATAATACTTATAACAAATTAATAAGATATAAAAAAATGTTTTTAATTGTAAAAAATCACTGGGGACTCTAATTTCCACTTAATTTGAGAACGACTCATTATCTTTGACTACAATAGTCAATGGTATTACTGTATTGTTTTTTGTTTATTTCAGCTTAACTTAACCAATCAATAGTTTTATTAATACTTATAAAGTCAAGCGGGGTGAAGCAAGTGGGTAACAGCTAGTTTCTATAATTTTAAATGGCGGTAACTGTCAATAAATTAAGCACCCATGGATCCTTAGCATAATGTAGGTTCCTTAACGTAATAATTCAAACTATCTAAGATGATCATAATCCGTTTGCGGCCCATAATTCCTGCAAAAGTTATGTTAGAGGTTCGATTAAGATAGTTATATTAGTTTATATATAGGAAGGGGCCTAATAGTTGTTTTTTAGATCCTGAGAAAAGTTATTAGCTTTTTGATGGTTCAAAAGCTGTTCCTGATCATCTGGATTTAAATAAATGATCATGACTGATGAACCGGCTGATATTCATACATAATATATAGGCCTATATATAACTTATTTATATGACTTACGTTATTACCTTAATTACCTCCTTCGTCACCAAGACCAGCGATGCCGGATAGGTTGTGTCAATACTATTTACATATTACTAAAAATAAAAACTTTTCTCTTTAAATAAACTTTTATGTCATGGCGGTGGATACACCCATACTTTCAAAAAAATCTTTCAGGCTATAATATGGCCTATCTTTTAGCCATGTCTTCAGGGCAGTGCTAAACTTAGGAGCTTCCAGGTTCTTCAGTGTTTGGGGAAGACTATTGTAAATCCTGAGTGCCATGGTCGGGTATGAATTTTTTGTTTTTGAGAGTCTGCAGAAAGGGATGTCTATTTCATTGTTACGCCTGGTTTGATGTGCATGTATGGTACTTCTTGTAGGGAAATTTAATAGGTTGTCTTTAACATGGACGGAACACAGAAGGATGTATTGGTTATAGACTGTTAGGACCTTTGTTTTCATGAAGAGCGGCTTACAGTGATCCAGTCTCTTACTAAAAGTAATCACACGAATTGCCCCATTCCCCCTATTCCCATTAGCGCAATAACTCAAGCAAAGATTATCCAATTTTGATGAAATTTGGTACAAACGTGTAAACCTACATTTAAAAATTGGTTTTTTTCCATTTTTTACCCTAAAAACAAAAAAATGTTACTTAACTTACTAGCCAATAGACCTTACGCAAAAAATTCTAAAATATTATAAATTTAAAATTCCCATGTTATTCTTATGGAGAATAAGTAAACTTTTGTAGGCCTAGGCCTAGTTTGCTTGTTTATGAACATATTTTCATCAAATTTGGAGAATGCATTTATTTCTTACGAAGCCTAAACTATTACCATTTTACAAAAAAACATTTTTTTACCCTTGCTGTTGCAACAAACCTAAGTACTCCTTAAACTAATTCTATTCAAATAGGGAAAAAATGAGATATTTTAGTGTAGGCCTAAATCCAATCAGGCAAATGGAAATTTGCTTAGTCTGCAAGTTTGCTGCGGTGTGGTTATTTTACCTTAATGTTGTCATCAACTGCTCTGGATGCAGCCTGTTCTTTAGCTTTATCTACGAGTTCCATACTGTTCTGAGGTGCGTATCTGCGTATTCGATATTGATGATGGTTCGAAGTTCCAAAATTTGCAAAGGACGAAGTCAACTTTGGTAATAACAATAACCTAAAACTCAAACAAGCAGTAGACTTCACTAAAAAAGTCATACCGCCAATAGGAATAAAGAAGAAAGCCGGCGTCACATGTGCATGACAGCTGACGATAATGGTAAGCACAAAACAACAGAAATGTAGTTTTTGAAAAAGTATCATTTCCTAGGACCTTCAAAACTACGTTTAAAGGTTTTTATTCTAAGCACTATATTTAGTTACAATCATATTTTATACTGTTTCACTTATTGTTTTACGATAACCTCTCAAATAGCGCGTAGAATCATTAATAAGCACCTGTTATCAGTGAATCAGTGAGATTGCATGTTATGCAATAGATAAAGCTATAGTGGTCGTTGAATGGTGTTGAGTACATTTTAAATATTAGAACTTGCCGTTTTGACGTTATGAAACATTAAGTTTTGTATAATATATATTTTAAAACATGCTTTGTGCATTATATACTTTTTCAACTTTTTTTAATATTCAATCAATAACCAGGTATATATTGCATCCGGTTTATTAATATTAAATATGAATAGACCGGATGCAATATAGGCCTATACCAAAATTTTAACATCATCAATAGCTGAAGCGTGGAGCTTGATATGTTGCCGAATAACTTCTTGATCAGCCATGTTGCCATCCATCATGCTTGGGTACCTAATATTTGTTTGGCTAGCTAGGGGTGAGATATCTCCCTCATGTTTAAGTCATTGTATTTTCTCTATGACAAACCCTTCAAAATAAGGGGTCAATAGGGGTTGCTGTTTGAAAAAATAGTTACCCCTTACCACCCCCCCCCCAACTCTGTTAGGGGGGTTGAATATATTTTTGGTGTAAAATATTGTGCAACCTTTGTTAACAATCAATGCCACAAACAGAATATTTCTATCTATTTTGGTTTAATAAATACCGATTTGTTTCCATACTTAATTTACACACTTTATATCGGTTTTAATTAAGACATTTGCCATGAGTTCCTATTGACATAAAATGTATTATTTCAAGCAAACCCACCCAAAGAAACTATCAGGAATATGCAAGCCCCTTATGGTGAGTTTAGCCATTTCCCCGTATCATAGATAAAACATAATCTTTTTTTTGTTAGTCTATGTCCGTATCGTGGGGGAAATTATTTTAATTTTTGTTTAAGTAGTTGATAACAAGGTTATTTATAAACGCATTTGGAGGTTACATTGCTAATAAAATGTATTTTGTGTTTTCAGAAAAAATCCAATTATGTAAATCAAATTTGGCACTACAATACATACTTTTCCTACAGTCACCCGACAAAGTTGGCTTCCTTGTACTGTTTATAGTACAGAAAGCTGCTAATTGCTGCATATTTATACTTTGTCGTACGGTTTATACTTTGGCGCACATCAGGATTCCAACGAAACAACACAAAACAGCGTTGTTATTATGCACGTAATCCGTGTACGCTTGGAAATAGGCTGGCAACACTTGGTATTTCTGAACTTTCTGGACTTTTCTTTTAAACGTTTCTAAAACATTCCTACGATCTTAATAAACAAGAAAATGCCTTTAAATCATTTTTTTAGGCGCGGAAACCACTTCAAGTTACAAAAACATACGGAACTGTATTCTCAAGTCGCGGAGCACATTTCTTGCCAAGGAAAAATAGCGGAGTGATACGAACCGGGTACTACTTTCTCTAGGGCACCTATTTGTGTTGCCAGCTGAACCTAAAAACGTGTTGTATAGTGTTTGAAAGAAAGACTAATTATTTATATGCTTTATAGTGACTGTAGGAAAAATATAATGTGTAACACGAGTGCAAAAGGCCTTTGCTGCACTCGAGATCATTCCGCACTTGCCTGCGACACGTGCGTAAACATTGCTCTCGTGTGCAGCAAAGTGCCACTTTGCCCACTAGTTACACAAATAGGCCCTAACTATTGTGTTTTGATCTGGAGGCACAGCCACGCCACGGCCATTGAAGTGGCAACATCGCAAGTAGGGTTGAAACAGCTGTTTTGTTTGGAACCGACTAATGGTAATATGTGTATTTTTTTAGAATACAAAAGCTTGTTTACTGGGCTATGAAAATATTTACTCCAATTAAATTTACAAAAATAGATTTTCAATTTAAACATTTGTTTTGGTTTTCAATTCTATATAGGCCTATGTATTCTATTTTCAATCTTTTAATACATTTATATTCATAAATTTAAATTTAAATGAATAATACGCGAACTAATGAACTGGTGTCATCTGTCTGTCATGTTATCTTATTCTTATGGGACGTCAAGTGCTAGACAATACCACTTGCGGCCTGGCCTCCCTTGACTCCTCGGAGCTCTCGTCCTTACAAATATCTGCCACAGTTTTAAAATTTTGGGGAAATGGTTTGGCACTGTGACCCTATTTAACTCATATATTTTCGTTACAATTTTTATTTGAATTGTGTTTCATTCGCTGAAATTGACAAATTTTATCCAAATAATTTCTTGATCTAAGCCTCACAGCCCTGTTTTCAGATTGGAATTTCCCAATAGGTTTCTGAAAGTATGGAGGATTCCGCAAATGAGGTAAACGATCGAACTTTTCATTTATGGCAACTAAGAGTAAAAATTGAACTGTCTCGGCCAGTCTTTTGTTGCTTAAAATGTAAGCAACCACAATTGAAACATTTAAAGTTTTATTTGTCTGAGGTATCACCACGGTGGTACTGCCACTCTGTACCCGTCAAATGTTCAATTGGGAGGTTGATGCAAGTGGTCACGTCCGCGTTCCCTCCAGCCACTCACAGTTCTTTGTCTTACTGGTTGCATTTAATTTTTAATTGATATAACCCTCCATACATACTATTTTACATACTATTTTATTAATCTTCGGATCATGGTAAGTCAGTGAATTGTGTAAGAAAGTTAATCAAACAACAGAAAACCATACAAAGGAATTTTGATACGTACACTTTGTAAATTGCATGATAAATATGATAATGTACCGGGTAACTGCACTGTGAATAATCACTTTCAAGCATTCACTTTATAACACCAAACTGTAACCAAAACTACATGAAAAATAGTGTAGAATACGATTCAAGTTATAGTTATTTGTGTAACTAGTGAGCAAAGTGGCACTTTGCTGCACACGAAAGCAACGTATACGCACGAGCCGCAGGCGAGTGCTGAATGATCTCAAGTGCAGTAAAGGCCTTTTGCACCCGTGTTACACATTATTTTTTCTTACAGTCACTATAAAGCATATAAATAATTAGTCTTTCAAACACTATACAACACGTTTTTAGGTTCAACTGGCAACACAAATAGGTGCCCCAGAGAAAGTAGTCCCCGGTCCGTATCACTCCGCTCTTTTTTCTTTGGCAAGCAATGTGCTCCGCGACTTGAGAAAATAGTTCCGTATATTTTTGTAATTTGCAGTGGTTTCCGCGCCTAAAAACAACGGTTTAAAGGTATTTTCTTTTTTATTAAGATCGTAGGAATGTTTTAAAAACGTTTAAAATAAAAGTCCAGAAAGTTCAGACATACCGAAAAGAGAACATAAAATATAAACACGAAATGCCAGGTTAAATCGTAGTTATAATAGTCAATCAGCTGCTCATGGTATTATTATCTTTTAAGTGTTGCCAACCTATTTCCAAGCGTACACGGATTACGTGCATAATAGTAGAACCAGTGGTTCTGAACCACGAACCACGCTGTTTTGTATTGTTTCGTTTGAATCCTGATGTGCGCCAAAGTATAAACATTGAGCTATAATAATAATAACTGGAGTAACCACCCTGTGTTTTAAAAACGTACCATTGTTTTTGATGGGTTTGTTTCAGAGTTTTCTGATGAAAGTTTATTATGGCTGCTTTCATAGAGTATTGAGTTTATGGCATCGTACTTTGGGGCAACAGCAGTGAAGCAAACATAGTCTTTCTACTACAGAAGAGAATTATTAGAATAATTTGTAAAACCCATTTTTTAGAACATTGCAGACCACTTTTTATTAATCTTAAAGTTCCCACCCTTACCTTCGTTTATATATTGGAATCAGCTATGATGATATGGAAATTTCCGGAAGTCTTCAAACGCAACCACGAAATACATAATTACAACACCAGTCAACAAAACCATACACCTGAATTGTCACCGAACATCATTGGTAATAGCTGGACCACATCATACAGCAAGTAAGATATTTAATAAATTGCCAGAAGAAATAAGAAGCTGCGAAGACAAAAATTTGTTCAAGAAAAAACTCAAAAATTATTTAATAGAAAAGGCCTACTACAAGTTGGAAGAATTTTTGGAGGATTAAGAGAAGATAGGCCCTACCTGAAAATTTAACAACTTTGATATATTTAATTGAGCATAATAGATTAAACATACTCCTCAAGGAGTATGTTTAATCTGGTTTAATCTATGGCTCCACTGATCGCAAATGTAACTGTTGTACTTCGTTTTCTTACTACCACTCCTACTACCATGTACTACCATTGACTTTATATCTACACACTGTAGATATAAAGTCAATGGGGGAACGCGCCAAGTTGCCACCACGTCAACCCGCCACCAAGTCAACCCGCCATCAAAAAGAAGAAGAAGTTTGAGGTGGCGGGTTGACGTGGTGGCTCGTTGTCGGGGTGGCACGTTGACTCTAGCGTGCACGACAACCCGCCACCTCGGAAAAATGTGTGGTGGCGGGTTGTCGTGGTGGCACGTTGTCCTGGTGGTGCTTAGACATGTTCATACACGTCAACCAGCCACCTCTTTTGTGTGGTGGCGGGTTGACGTGGTGGCTGGTTGACGTCTACGTGCGAGGTGGTGGGTTGACGACACCGAACATTGAGCGTGCATGACAACCCACCACCTCATAAAATAGTGATGGCGGGTTGACGTGGTGGCACGTTGTTGCTTACATGCGAGGTGGCGGGTTGACGAGAGTTAACATGGGGCGTACACGACAACCCGCCATCTTTGTTGGCAAAAGCCGCTGTTGTCTGTGTATTATAAAATGCATCACTTTTTGCAGTTTACCTGGACTTGTGTTATCTAGTTTACTGTTAAGTTAACTAGACATTAGTTATTGTGAATTCATTAATTTTCGAATCGTTTTCCTAAAAAGATCTGCCATAGAAATAAAGTACACGCGCATCCACGCAAGACAATTTTTCCTTTTAATCAACGGTTATTGTTTTATTGTTTTAAAAAATGTTATTGTAAGATAAACTCACTAGAAATTAACGATTTAGGGCCATTCTAGAATTAAAAT